GCTCAGAACCCAGAGAAAGAAAACACGAACAGAGAAAAGACATATTAGCCAGTTTAATTTATTTAAGAATCTTACAAAAAAAAGAAAAAGAAAACAAAAACCAAACAAAAAACACGACAACGAAAAACTACAGAGTTTGTTATGCTTCGTGGTTGATCGTTTTTTACTTGCAAGGGTAAACCTCGCTCAATGCAGCCAACACAAAGTTTATTGCATGAGACCCAATTTTTAAAGTTACATGATCAAAATGGTTGGAACAGTCACTTCTGGACACTTGGTACTGGGTTAACCATGGAAGGCTGGATGGAGCAGTGCAGTATCATCCGAACAGTGCGTACCCTTCACACGCTAACGGACATTCGAGACAGAGGAGTGATATAAAAAGGGAGATTTAAAAAAAGAGGACCAAATAAAAACAACCAAGAGTTTACAGCCACCTTAGTTTCAAATTGTCTTTGGATTCCATCGCACGTTGTCTCAAGATGCACCAAGTCAGATCAGTGAAGGAGGAAGATCTACGCCTACGTATAAAAGTACCCTTTGCTCAGCAGAGGTAGAACCTGGCGAAAGTTTTATTGCAGAGACACAGCGTCCCTCTTCCCGCTTCTCATGGTCGGTGGTAGATATAAGTGGTTATTGAAAAATCTTATCAGTAGTTTGCAGACTCCGTATAAACCACGAACAGGATGGTTCTTCTCTCTAACGGCGGGGAGACTACAACATGCTCCGTAGGGAACAAGTTCTCTGCCCCTAACCGGATTCAGGAAGAAGGCTCAAAGCTGCTTTATCCTCTTCAGTGCCGCAAGTACGATCACAGCAAGAAAGGCCCTGGGGTGGGAAGGTGCACGAATGGGGTGTTCTCACGAAGGGGGCTGTGGACTGACCTTCAGACCTGGGGAGGGGGAGGCCTGAACCTCAAGAAGCAAGAAGAACCGACTGAGCCAGGGTGTGTCCCTTGCTGGGCAGGTGCTCTGAGCTGTCCCGCCACCGCCGCACCGGGGAGAGTGGCCGCAGGTTGCCCGGCTCGGCACTCCTCAGGCACCAGAGGCAGGGAGCGGGCAGGCTGGACCTGAGCCGGGATTCTCACGGGAGCACATCTCTAACAGGCCCTAATTGAGGATATGCTCCGTTCCCAAGGCTTATTTCCATGCAGACAACTTGTACATTTTCAACAAGTCTAGCAAGTTGGAATAGGTAAGCGAAACATGTACATGAGTTAAAGGCCCAAGAAATGCTCATGGTGATCCCACCTAGATGTCATGAAGGAAAATTTTCTTCATGGCGCACAATCTTTAAAGTCTGCGTCCCTGCTGATGATTACCCACCGTTTTCATGAGCCACCCCCGGGTCTTTCCCATGGGCAACACTCATCATCCAGAATGCCTCAATCCAGCTCAGCAACGAGGCTGTGGGCGCCTCATCCAGCCAAGGGCCACTCACTGGTAGTTGAGTAGTGGTGAGAGCAGCTCAGGGCAGCCTGCCGGCCAGTCCACCCACGGCTAATGGTTCGAGAAGAAATCAGCCCACGAACTGAAGGCTCCTGGAGCCTCTAGAGCAGTTGTGTCGCTCTCTCTCTGGGAGGACAACTGCTCCTTAAAGAACGTTTTTTACAGAGACCCACATGTACCAGGCCAGTCTCCCCACTGCTGTTAAAATCCTAAACAGGTGAGAGCAAAGGCAGATTCCCTGTCTTCCCTGCAAAGTAAATTTTTGATTTATTAATTTGCAGGTTAAACGTACAGGCCTGACTTCTTAAAAAAACAAACAAACAAAAAACCAAAAAAAAACCCCTCAAAAACTTTGCAGCCAGCAGCAGGCTGTCAACTACTAGTCAGATCTGTAAGATTTTCCTCTCAGCTGAGCCACATAGGTGAAGGCTTTGGTACAGGCCTGAAAAACTGCGAGGGTAGGAGCAAGTCGGGTTACTGAAAAGCTACATTGAATCTCAAATGCACTGAAGAAGTTAGAGGAGCTTAAAGGAAGTCTTGGGAAGAAATGTTTTTATGTGAAAACATCAGGCTCACTATAGCTTCCAAAGAGCAACATAAATGAGCGTAACTAGTCATATAATGACAGTATCAGAAATTGCACTCAAGTACATTCCCCCCAATACAATGCATTGCACACAGTAAAAATTTGTAATAAAAATGCAAACACAATCAGGCATGTGGAAAAAATATTAACACACAACAGACATAGGAATTCTATAGTAAAGATGCAAAACTGAATTCTAATATATGAACAAATTCAACTAAGAAGTTTTCCATACTTTTATATAAAAAAAAGAAAGTATAAGATACCCCATATGGGAAGTCAAGAAAAGAATAAATAGGATGGAAGGGAGGAGGGAAAGGGAAAAACAAGTGGATGGGGTCCCAATTTACAAGAAATATTTACATTCAGAATTCAAAAGAACTCAACATTTCTATATATACACATTTATGTACATATATAAGTACAGCATAAAATCAGAAAGTGGGTTTTGAATTTCACCTCAAGTACTCAGAAAAAACTAGCGAGCTTGAGTTGCGGGTATCTATGTGCGTTTCCTTCACTTACGCGCCCTTAAAAGACACTGCATTTGTATTCGAGAACTGGCATCCCATGAGGAGTCTCCACAAACGGTTTCTGCTCACGGCTAGAGCCACGAGGTGGACTGCCTCCACACTCCCGTGGCACAGCGTGCCCAGCCCCGTGCGCGGTTATGCGATTACGCAGGGAGACCCCAGACCCAGAAGGGGTAGTCGCTAAATGCCCATCGTCACAGTGGTTTTCTTTGCCACTGGGATGCCTGAACTAACCCAACGTCTGGCTAACCGGATCCCAGCCTGACAGCAACTCTTATTAGCACCGTTCTCAGAAACTACCAAGTATCCCTCAGGTATGTTTTTAAAGTAAGAGATTATAGACACAGACATTCCTCTTCGTATCTTATCAAGAAAAGGACCAAAAGGGAAAGTACTTTTCCTCTGCTCCTACTTTCATAAACTGAGAGGCACCAATCATTTGTAATCTACTACTGCTTTCTGCCTTCTTGCTAAACTGGGAAGGAGAGGGGGTGTGGGAAAAGGTTCCCACTATTCAAATGTAAATGCTGTCCTGGTGCCCTTTCTGGTCCTGCCTGTTACGAGTTCTAATAGCATCACACAGAGGCCAGCAAATGAATGCCCCAAGGGCTGCGGACACGGGACTGGGCCTCTAAGATGTTACAGTCCCCTGGAGCTTGGTAATCTAGAACTTGACCTCTACAGATGAAGCACACTAAAGTGAAAAGGGCTCCTGCTGCAGCTCAAACCGTTTTCTGAAGTGCGATCTGACTGGACGGGAATAAATACATAGACACGAGCACACATGCGCACGCTGCTCTGGGGGCAAGTTCTGGCTACCTTCTACACGGACGGAAAGAAAAGATGCTGAGAGTCTATGCAACACAGCAGCAAAAAGGGGAAAATGCTTCAGATATTCACTTTCTGATCAAGCTGCGTTTCAAGAAATACTTGGTTAATACTTGGAGGACTTCACATCATCGATGCTGACCTGGATAATCCCACTAAACCACAGCCGGAGGCCTTGCGGGGTGGAGATCGCTAAACTCGGGGAACACCAACTCCCCCCGAGATACCAGCTGAGCAGCTCTGGACTTAGGAAGTGGTTTTCAGCACAATCGACACTGTAAACTCTGAAAACATGAACATGATTTATAATCAAATCTTGGTGCTCAGAGCCGTATTGCTAAAAAGGGAGGAAAGGCATTGCAGGGGCCAAAAGCGTCAGGTTCAACAAGGCCCTGGGGTCAGACGTGGCATTCAGATCCTGAAATACACGGGCTTGTTTTACAGAAGCTCACTGTTGTTAAGACTTGGTTTTTTGACAGAGGAGGGCCTCGAATGCTGGGTAGCCCCATGCTGACCAACCTGAACTTGCTGACTTAGGTAAGGGTACAGTGTAAAGGTCCTGTGCTCAACCTCCAGAGAAGGGGACGAGCAGCAGACTCTTGGTGCTTAACACACCCCACGCCATGATGGGTATGATGGACAGGGTCATGTGACATCTCGGGTCCCCCTACATTTACACTGGCCGCCTTTTTGAGGTCTCCTGAGAGACTTTTCAGAGGCCTTACTTCTGGACTTTATTTCTAAGAGCAAAACAAAGCTGTTCCTCAAAGAACAGAACATACCTATGCCCTTTGCATCAAGATAGCTGTTCAAAGGGCAAACCTCGCGTCAGGAATTGTGGGGGTCAACTAACCGCATGCTACAGAATCCGCGTACGGATGTTTGGAAATAAGCACACCCTGTGAGAAAGATAACCCCCCACACACAAGAGGGACGCTTGGGCCAAGAGCCTATGAGAAATCTGTCTTCTCTAACCCTGCCATTCTGTCTCACTGAGGGGAGCAGGTCTGTTAGGGTTCCCATCCCCAACTGCCTTTCACTTCAGCGTGTTGATGGATGCTGGGCAGACCCCCGGTTTCCACCGAGAGGAACTAACTGAGAAGCTTTGCTGCAGGTGGGACGATCTGTGCTAACAAGGAACATTAGTCGATCTTCAGATGGATCACTGCCTGAGAGAGAGCCTAGACTGAGGAGGAAAGTTGCATCCACTTGGCAAAACATGCCAAAGAACAGAAATTACTGTCAATGTGTTCTTCTAGGTATTAAGAATAAATAAATCCAAAGGAAGCTTACAGTAAACTTGACATAAGTGAACTGGGGCTTAAAGGAACACAGGAAGAGGAAAGCCCTGGCTTGCCTTCACTGAACATACACCCCACCTGATTCGAAGTTTAAAAAGTAACAAAAGAGAACAATTCAGTTTGAGCAACATTCAAAAGAACGATCACTTCACCCCTTCCTCGACACCATCTCCATTTCGAGGGTGAGCCTGACAGAAGTCCAAACAGAAGGCTCTCTGAGCGCTGAGCAACACTCGAGTTCTGCGGAGTCCCCGTCACGGACTGCTTCTGAAGGTGGTGAGGGCCTAAACACGAGTCCACTTCCGGTTAGTATCATAACTTTTTATTTGACACCTACAAGATTGTGGTATCTTGTAGCTTTTGACCAGGTTTATACAATCTCAATTTTTCAATAGTGCAACCTGTGCAAGCAAAAAAAAGGGGGGGGGAGAGGAAAACAAAAGGAAACAAAAAAACCAATTGTCCCCTCACTTGTTTTTATAAACATCTATTATAGGCGAAACAAAACTCACCCATATTGTAGATAAGTATCTATTCACATTTGTACATCACCATTTTTAACAGCTTGAGATAAACTCTACAATGTCTTACAACACATTAAACAATATTCACGTTACTGGGTAACAACAATAACAACAAGAAATAAACATACAGCAGAAGCCTCAAGTGTCTCCTCATTGTCTAGTTTACAGCTCAAGTACGGTTTCCTTTTTTATGAGTGACAAATTAAGATAATGAAGTTAAAAAAAAAGATTGTTTGCAAGAAGGAAGCCAATTTGTATTTCTTTCTAAAACTATCTTTAAGTTAAGGAAAATGTAATTTTAAGAAAAGCAGGCTTGTAGCCATTTTTGCAGCACACATTAGGAATACTATTAATACATTAAAATTAACTTTTTAAGAGTTTTACCACAAAAAAATGTATGTACTCATTACCTTGACCAGAAACCTGGGGCACGGAGAATGGGGATGGGGATGAGATTTGCAGGGTAAGAAGCAATACCCAGGTATAAACACTATAAAAATGCAATAACCAATGCTGTACATCTACAAATGTTTCTCTCCGTTACTTGACTTGTTTTAGTCTTGTTTACGCATGCTTTCAAAGACATGCACTGTCAGAACAAAAACTAGAAAAGAACCTGAATGCATGATATGCAACCTTTCATTTCATGCTTTAATAAACCTATTGTTTAATAAGTTGGAAAAAGAAACCAATATATATTTTCTATATTTATAGACTCAAAACACATGCATCCGGGGAGAACTCCCACAGCAGTTGCATGGATGTACTGCGTTAACCCTGAGCACTGTGTAACGTAAAAGTAAAGCCAGTTTGGGAAGTTCCAAGCATTTTTAAACCAATTGTGGTTTGCAGCCTTTAACAAACTCACAAACAAACAGACACACACACACGCGCACATATCCCTCTGCTCACCCAAAGTAAAAGCATATGGGAAGTACCATGGGAAAAGCAAAGGAAAGACATATGTACCCCCATCGGCACTGCTGATTTTCAGTTTTGCTATCTATTCCAGGTTTGTCCTTACTCCCAAAAGAATTAACTAGAGAGAGCACAACTGAAAAAAAAATTATAATTCTTTGGAAACTGTCCCTGATTTTTATGCAAATGATATGCTTCAACAGCATTTCAGATACATCCATGTCGAAACCTGTCTGTTCTTAAGCGTTGCTCAAGTTGGCGATGCTCTGCGGGTGGCGCTGCTGCCAGAGCTGCTTCTGCTGGACCGCAAGCTGTTGAGACTGGTCTGAAGTTGACAGGAGATTTACAAGTGGAGACACACAATTTGCAGGAATGATCAAACCTGCAATTAGAAACAAGAATTTTGGGAGGGTGCATCCAAGACAGCCGTATATTCCAGCTTCACAGCACACTCCAAGTGAAGCACACTATTAAGTGGAACAAAGACGACGCCACACAAAAATGAAATAAATACCTAATAACTGAAATGGCCCCTTCAGAAGTAACTGAATTCCTCGGCAGCGTCACCCACAAACACCTAAGCGTCTGCATGTCTACAGCAACACCAACTTGGTGCTGGAACAGAAAGGTCAAGTACAGTGTCTCCCGATCTACTTTGCAGCTCCACAATGCACATCAACACAACCTTCTCTGGCAAGTGCTAACGTAGCAGAAAGAGCACAGGACAGTGGTTGCAAACTCAAAGGCTGACTGAAGCACGTTAACTGCCAAGCGGTCCCAGTACAGATGTTAGCAAATGGGGGAAAGTAGATGTCCTGGCAAAGGAACTTGAACTCCTCTCATCTGGGAACAGGGGCTCGATGTGTCACAGAAGCTGGTGCGTGTACACAGCTGTGTGTGTGCCCACACGCACCTTTTGAGAAAATGAAAAGCCAGGCTTCTGATCTTTAAATGTTGGCAACTAATTCAAATGCAAGCTTGCAACAACTGAAAATATTTGAGGGTCAAAAAAATGTTCATGGACGATCTCTGGCCCACAGACTGCCAATCTGCAACCCAAGATAAAAAAGGAAGGCTGTGGCAAATGAAACAAATGTGGAGGGACAGGGAAAGCTCCCTGCAAAGCCTGTGAGCGGGCGGTAGGTGCAGCTGGCCTGCTCTGCCCATGCTCTCCGCACAGCTCCAGGCCGGCCTCTGTGCACAGCAACATTCGTTTCAGTCTCGATGTGGACCCTGAACATCAAACAGCAGACTTCCAGGACTCCTTGGCAAGAGGCGGGCTTAGTCTTTACACAAGAAAGGCTGCGCAGACGGCAACAATGAGGATGGGGAGCAGGAACAGCTGAGAGCAGCGTAAGGAAAACTTCAGCCAGAATCAACAATGCCCATTTGAAGGCTTAACTTCCGTTCAGCCTTTTAAGAACATATAAATCAAGCTCTATTCCACTACTAGAATAGTACTGAGATTTTTAAAATGTAAGAATCAAAATTTTTTAAAAAGGCTCTGATTTTTTCCCAATAACTCAACCCCCCAAAATTAGACTCACCTACAATACGTTGTCCATCCTCTGTTCTTAGCCGAACTATCTGCATCTTCACATTTGTGCCACTGACAGACGCTAGAACACCCTCAACTTTTGTCCAGACACTCAGAACGGAGCCACATAATACATAATACGTGCGGCAGCGAAGACCTATTTCACAAACTAATCCCAAGCTGGCTTTTTTGCAGTTGCCACGCCTAGGATAGATAGGGGGAAAGTATATATGTATACATATATACACACACACACACACACACGTCTCACAAAGTCTATCTAGGTTTCAACTGGACAATGTCCTGGCACGATTTGCCCTTCTTTACTGACAGTTTCTTAGATTATATCCTTTAACATACTGGATCATCCTTTCCAATTTAAGGTATTACTGCCAATTTTTTAAGTTTCTAAGATTTATTTTAGAAAATAAAATTTCTGGGGCCTGACTTCCTGTAAAAGGGTTAACTTACTGGTTTCAATATCCATTTAAAAGGTCTGTCATTTTAACATCCATCATTTTACTATATTGTTAGCTTATCAAATAATTCTGTTACCTCTAAAAATTATTAAAAATTATTAATTAAATTAAAATTATAAATTCTAAATCTTGAACTGGGAAAGGCCTCAGCAAACCAAAATAATGACAATTTTTAAATACTATAAAAAAGGAAGACATGGTTTATGGTTAAAATTATTTAGACAATTCATCAATAAAATCATCTTTCAAATAATAATTCAAGAAAACACACAGTATCAGGCACCTTTCTTGCTAGTACTCAAAGCAAATGTTTTAGAGAGAACTTCTGTAAATTAACTTTAAAAACATTTTATCTTGAAAACATTTTCTAATTTCCAAAAGCACTAATTTGCTCTCAAAATGAAAATGAAACACTGCTCCTTCCAAATTTACCTACCTACATGTGTCTAAAAAACACCTAGCTAAAATTCATCTACATCCTATATTCCTTTTCATAAAGTGGGCTGGACACCCTACTGACTGTTAAATGGGTAAAAAACCAGCGAGACCTATGATCTGCAATGTATTAAAACATCCCATACAAGGCCCTGAAATGAACATTGTAAGAGGCATTTATTACGTTGTGACTTGAAAGAACAGCCCTCGAGCCAACCTAGCGGCACAGCAGGGTCAGTTTCCAGGCTCGACAACACATTTTCTGGTGCTGTCACCAACTCTTAGTTTCCTACAAGTTCCCTAGCCTTAAAAATGAAACTGATTTGGGACACCAGTAAAGCTTTTTTAAAAAAAGGGGGAAAAAAAAAAAAAAAGGAAGGGAAGGAAGAAGGAGGGAAAAAAAGTACGTCTCAGCAAGAAGAATGACAGTCAAGTCCGTATGGCCTGACGACACTTGGTCAGAAGTTATAAGCGTTAGTGAAGAGCAGAGAGGACACCCAGTATGCGTGGTCCACAGACAGACAAGTATCTCTGATAGAAGGAATGACACCTGACCATCATCTCCTTGTGGACTTAGACAGCTAGAGAGTGAAGGTGTTTTTAAATTAAATCTTGATTACATTTTGGATAATACGGTGAGCAACATGCAAATACTAACCAATAGGCATGAGTACAAGTATCTGCAGATGAATTATACTGATCTAACCAGTGGATCAGGGCATCATCTGAGACTACCTGTGAAAATAAGACGAAAATTCCATTGAAACAGTATTGTTTTAAACATCCTGGTCGCCTTCTTATAGTCTCTTAAGCCAACTAACACACATCTCGGTATGGACAATCTGGCCCTTGCTACTGGCTGCATTTGCATGCCACTCATGAAGTCCTGCCATTAGGGACTTCCTATGTAATAAATGTTTCAAACAGCTGGTTTAATCACAATTGTTTACAAATGAAACTGGCCAGGAAAAACAGTAATATAAGGTAATACTAAAAATTAACAGTAATATTAGGAAAAAACGTTGTCATTCACTGTTTTTCTACAAATTACTGCAAAATATAAATATGGCGGTTCTAATTTCTGTAGTTAGCACTGGAAGTATCCTTTTTTGACAACACAAGCTGTTTCAAATAATCATTTTACAATTTTCTTAATGGTTGATAACATTAAGACTGTGATGTTAATGCAGCAACACTTGACAACATGTTTTCTGAAAACAACTTTCCAGTAATCAAATAGGAAAAATTGACAAAACCACCTTAAATATAGACATATAGCTCTCCTAAACAGTTTCAACATGTTATAAAACAAGTACTCATAAATAGTATAAGGTGTACAAATGAAAAAATACCTTCTTGTATTTCTTTTTTAGGTCAGCATAAATTTCTAATTTGAGCTGTTTCCCAGTATTTGGTCTATAAACTAAGAAAAGCTTCTTTTTAGGGTTCACTTCTTTAACTAAGATGGCAGTTTTCTTGTTGTTCCTTATCTATTAAAAAAAAAAGCGAGAAAGTGTAAGGATTCGTGCTGCACACTTGAAGATAAGCATGTTTGCACCATCACATTAGCAAATTAATCCTCTGAAAGACTAACGCTGAGTAAGCACACAGATAGGTAACTGGATAAAGATGGCAGCTGTTCATCTACCTGAGTTTCACGAGGGCCAACCCAAATAAACGTTCCTGGGTCCTAAATGTGGGGTATGCTGAACACATACGTTGAGGGCCAAGATACTCCTTGGAAGACTGTTTTGAATAAAGCTTTAAGCACTAGTGTCCAGTGGAGGTAACTGTGCTTATTCTAGTCCATGTTCTTGCCTTAGACATCCATGAGTGGGGAGTCTAGATAGTGGGGCAGAGTCTTTGTAGGAAAATCCTTTTACTTCTAACTCTATGTTTAAAATTTTTCATAATAAAACATTGTTAAAAAGTGTTTCTCGGGAAGCCTGGGTGGCTCAGTTGGTTAAGCAGCTGCCTTAGGCTCAGGTCATGATCCCAGGGTCCTGGGATCGAATCCCACATCGGGCTCCTTGCTCGTCAGGGAGCCTGCTTCTCCCTCTGCCTCTGCCTGCCATTCTGTCTACCTGTGCTCGCTCTCTCTCCCTCTCTCTCTCTGACAAATAAATAAATAAAATCTTAAAAAAAAAAAAGTGTTTCTCTCGGGATGCCTGGGTGGCTCAGTTGGTTAAGCATCTGCCTTCAGCTCAGGTCGGGATTCTAGGGCCCTGGGATCAAGTCCCACATCAGGTTGTCTGCTAGGTGGGGAGCCTGCCTCTCCCTCTACCTGCCACTTTCTCTGCGTGTGCCCTTTCTCGCTCAGACAAATAAATAAGTATCTTAAAAAAAAAAAAAATAGGGGCGCCTGGGTGGCTCAGTGGGTTGAGCCTCTGCTTTCGGCTCAGGTCATGATCCCTGGGTCCTAGGATCGAGCCCCACATCGGGCTCTCTGCTTGGCAGGGAGCCTGCTTCCTCCTCTCTCTCTGCCTGCTTCTCTGCCTACTTGTGATCTGTCTGTCAAATTAATAAATAAAATCTTTAAAAAAAAAAAAAAAGTTCCTCTCCTTGAAGTTACAATGAAACATAACCTCCAAGATGATTTTGATCACCCATGGTTCCCTGCACTCATCTACTAACCCAACATGGCTGTTTCTCCCCATTGCTGCCATTAAGAGTGAAATGAGAGGTCACATGATTTGTAAACAGTAAAGCTATGACAGGAAAAAGCCAAAATGTTGAGCAAATAATCATAAATACGTATGTAGAAGTGGAAGAAATGGATGCATCAGACAAATGATGGAACTTACATATATTTTTAATTTTTTAAAAGAGTTGGACTTATGGCAGAAATGCTAAGAGGAAGGAGTTATTAAAAGGCCCATTAAATTAAAGGAAAATTAGCATTAGAAAATCCTTATCTCCTCTAATGGCGAACAATTTCCAAGCAATAATCTCTGGAGCAAAACTGAAGGAAAAAGAAAAGTTTTAAAGTAAAGATACTTTGCCAGCTCTTCTACAAAACAAATTGCTCACTGAGCTGTTTTTTATATTAGGATAATTCTTGGGATGCCTGGGTGGCTCAGTCACTAAGTGTCTGCCTGCAGCTCAGGTCATGATCTCAGGGTCCTGTGATCGAGCCACACATTGGGCTCCCTGCTCAGTGGGAAGCCTGATTCTCCCACTCCCCCTGCTTGTGCTCCCTGTCCTGCTTTCTGTCAAATAAATAAATAAATAAATAAATATCTTAAAAAAAAAAAAAAAAAAAAAAAAGATAATTCTTACACCGATAAAAGAAAAAAACAGTATTTTACTTTTCTCTTCATGGATATTAAAGATCCTTTACTGTTTACTTGTTCAAATGATTTGAAACATTATATAATTACTACAAAGTCTATAAAACAATGCTTAAGGTAAAAATCACATTTTACATGTTTTATCAGTTGATGTGAAACATTCAATAAAGGGCGCCTGGGTGGCTCAGTGGGCTGAAGCCTCTGCCTTCGGCTCGGGTTATGATCCCAGAGTCCTGGGATCGAGCCCCACATTGGGCTCTCTGCTCAGCAGGGAACCTGCTTCCTCCTCTATGCCTGCCTCTCTGCCTACTTGTGATCTCTGTCAAATAAATAAATAAAATCTTAAAAAAAAAAAAAAAGAAACACTTAATAAAATTATTATACTTAGAGGACCATGTTTAAAGCATATAAAAGTTCCATCTGGGGGCGCCTGGGTGGCTCAGTGGGTTAAAGCCTCTGCCTTCGGCTCAGGTCATGATCCCAGGGTCTTGGGATCGAGCCCCATATCGGGCTCTCTGCTCGGCAGGGAGCCTGCTTCCTCCTCTCTCTCTCTCTGCCTGCCTCTCTGCCTACTTGTGATCTCTATCTGTCAAATAAATAAATAAAATCTTTAAAAAAATAAATAAATAAATAAATAAATAAAATAAAATAAAAGTTCCATCTGTCTCTATAGTGTCAAATTATTTCATTATAATCACAAAATAAATCATCACACTACAGTGGAAATAAAAGTTAATTCCTACTTGGTTTTCCTAATGTTAACACATGGTAAACATTGTAAAGCATGTCTGCTTATTTTTTAAAAATATTTTATTTATCTGACAGGGAGAGAGAGAGATCACAAGTAGGCACAGAGGCAGGAACAGAGAGAGGGGGAAGCAGGCTCCCCGCTGAGCAAGCTCGATGTGGGGCTCCATCCCAGGACCCTGAGAGCATGACCTGGGCCAAAGGCAGAGGCTTAACCCACTGAGCCACCCAGGCGTCCCGCATGTCTGCTTACTTTTGTGGAGTTTCAAACACCTGCACCTTCCTGGATTGATGCCCCTTCTAAGTCTGCCTCTCCGCACATCCAATCACCTGCTGCCATGCAGGAAGTAACAAAGGACCAGTATCACCACACCCTTCCACTCAAAGGAAGATGTGGATCAGCACTACCTCAAAATCTACCAGTGTGTAAATTCTGGCAACAGTTTGGAATGAAAAGCCAAAAACCAAGACCCTAAAATCTGTACCTATCAAAATCCCATCTAAGGGAGAAATCTGAATAAAATGCGGTGAATTATGTAATAGTGATACGATGCTGGTTTTGATATCATGTTATAGTTTTGTAAAATGTTACCATTGGTGAAACTGGTGTACAAGGAAGTTCTCTGTATCACTTCTCAAAACCTCATGTGAATCTAGAAATATCTCACTAAGATTTTCTTTTTTTCAAAAGATGTTATTTACTTATTTTAGATAGAGAGTGCATGCACAGGAGCGCACAGGAGCTGGGGGAGGGCCAAGGGGAGGGCCAGAGGGAGAGAATCTCAACCAGACTCTGCACTGAGCACAAAGCCCGGTGGGACTCCATCTCACGACCCTGCGGTCATCACCTGAGCTGAAATCAAGAGTGAGACACTCAAGCTACAGAGCCACGCAGGCGCCCTCAATAAGATTTTCAAAAACCACTTAATTAGGAGCCAGATTCAGTTTGACAGCTTTGCTCTTGGATCAGGTACCAGTAAAATCAGGTCTGTGACCAAACTGGGCCTGAGGCTAATAAGCTTAAAACAGTGGAAGGAAGGGAGAAACCAAGGAAGGAAGGGTAGGGAAAAGGAAGAAAAAACAAAAAAACAATAAAAAAGAATAGTTAGTAGAAACTACACATAGCCTACAAAACCTAAAGTATTTACTATCTGATCCTAAAGAAGTTTGGGGACACCTGCTCTAGATAGCATAACTATGGTCTCGCACTGCCTCTGGCATGACCATATGTAGTCTCTTTCACGCAGTCCCATCTAGAACCTGGACCTCATTTACAGTTGGCCTCTCCAAAAATTTGGCAAATAAAAAACAAAATGTGCTACATACATACAACGGAACATTATTTAGTCACAAAAATGAAGCACTGGGGCACCTGGGCGGCTTAGCCAGTTAAGCCTCTGCCTTCAGCTCAAGTCATGATCTCAGGGTCCTGGGATCTGGCCCCATATTAGGCTCCCTGATCAGCATGGAATCTGCTTGAGATTCTCTCTCCAACTGCCTGAGCGCAGGCAGGCACACGCATGCATGCTCTGTGTCTCTCTCTGACAGAGAAACCTAAAAACAAACCACCTGAGGAAGTAACACTCCCAATAAACCCTTCTTGAGGATGCTACTACAGGACAGTCTGCCCATAAAATGATCAGAGACAGCAATCTAAGGACTAGTGAGAGGTGAGCATTAAATTTAATTACCTTTAGAACTAAGAGTTAAGTATTAAAAGAAAAGCATAGTATAGAAGTCCATATGCTGACAATGCAGAAATAGTACAAATGTGTTTTAATGGAATGGGAGAATGGGGAGAAGCAAAAGCAAAAAAAGCTAATGCTTTTTTCCCGAAATTATTTTCAAGAATATTGGGGTATATTATCCATAATCTTTTATCATCCCGTGTGCCATGGAGAATAAAGATTATTACTGTAGAAGAAATAAGCACACAGATTAATATCAGAAAATAATGACATAAAAACTCCACAGTCTTTAACAGGAAAATTCAAGATACCGTACCCTGACTCTGGATGATTATATATCCTCACGTACTTATCTGTGGGTGTGCGTGTGTCTACATATAAATGTATGGGTATGTACACATATACGTATTTACACTTCCCTCATCCTGAGCTCTACCCTCAAATCCTAAGGAATTATTTACACTAATAACTAAGAAGTGAATCTTTCAGATATAAAGCTTACTAGAGGTCTACAGAACTAAATATGCAGTCCTTTATGGAGGCTTAGAGGTCACTGCACCATGAAATAAAAAGATCCGATTAACTAAGAATATGTAATAATTCAAAACGTCTGTAGAAGGACAAACTCAGTTATAATGAAAAATGATCAAAACAGAGAAAAGCGAAATACAATCAGAAAGCCGCCACAAAGGGGATAGATAACTGCAGTGCTGGCAGCTACAACGCATTACGTATCTGAACAGTTAACATGGCAAGGACATGAGTCTTACTTGCAATGACAAGTAAAAGCCATCATCTGGTCCTGTCAGCTCAGCCCAAATCTTGGTAGCTTCCTCCCAAGACATTCCCCTCTCCACACTAATCTGTAAAAGAAATAATACAACTTAAATCACACTCACTTCTGTGAGTGCCAATCACAGGAGGTTACACTTAAACATGCACGTTTCCAAACTTACAGTATATAACTCTACATGACCAGAGGTGGAATATCCCGGAGTCAGAAACTTCTTAACATCACTTTTCCTCACTTTTTCATCACCAGAACCAAGATCTTGAACAAGAAAAAGCAACACGTAAATGGAAAAAAAACATTTTATTAGGAATACACAGGACATATTCAAAATTTCTCTACTTACCTAAAATTCCCATATCATATCTTCCATTTTTTTTGGCATTTTGAACAACTGCTGTAAGTGTGTCTGCAAAATACTGAAATAACGCATTCTGCTGATGCACTTCCATGCCCAAAATTCTATTTAAGAATTTTCCTATGTTGTTATAATCTGCAAGGACAAGATTGTATGAAAGATTTAATGCATCTGAATGGCAATTATAATGCACTTGCCCCTGGAAGTAAAATAAAAACAAAACAAAACATTTATTCATCTAAGCTTAGACCAAGTCTCACTTCCTCCTCCATGGTCTTACCTCACACCCACAACCTTGCATGGCTCTCAGAAGAGAGCTATAATTTGACCATTTCTACCTCTAGCAATCAGCACGACCACATACATGCTCCAAAGATGGTTGTCTTACTCAATTTGTGCATCATCAAAATTCACTTACTGAAAATATGAACACAATTTAGCACATGAGAATGTTCGTTCTCCAACATGAAATCCTGGCTTGTAGAAAATTCTAAGTGCCGCTAAGTCTGTGAAGCTCAACAGCACGGTCTTCAGTATTTTTTAAAAGCTTCACAGCTGATATATATGCAACCTGGGTTGAGAACTGCTACTCTGTAGACAGAATAAAGGTTTAATCTCTTTTGAACAACCACAGTAGCAAAAACCACTGAGAGTGCTTTATGAGCAATCCAGAAGGAGGGACTGAGAACTACAAACTTGAAGCTTCCCCTTCAAGTTGAAAAAGGCATAAAGAAAATGGTCTGTAATGATAGAGCAATAGTTCTGTTTTATGTCCATATACAAAACTCATACTCTTACCTTTATCTAGAGTAAGAATACCCGAACGATCTTCTACATTTATCAGGCCAACTCCTATTAGTCCTTGTCGAACATCTGTCAGAAAATTAAAAAACCTTATAACCCAAGTGACTCAATGATCTGTTACTCGACTAATCAAACTAGATCAAGTTCTTTTTTCAGATGCTTAACCGACTGAGCCGCTCAGGTGCCCCGAACTAGACCACAAGTTCTAGCCTTAAAACACAACCTAAGGCATTTTTCATAGTTCCTATTAGCTGAATTAAATGGAACACACAGTCCCCAAAGGTCTTTTAGGCACTCCAAAATCCTACAGTACTCAAACTTCACACTATATGAGCTCATTAAAAGATCTCATCTCTCTCTCTCTTTTTTAAAGATTTTATTTATGTATTTGACAGAGACAGCCAGCCAGAGAGGGAATACAAGCAGGGGGAGTGGAGAGGCAGAAGAATGCTTCCCGCTGAGCAGGAGGCCTGATGTTGGGCTCGATCCCAGGACCCTGGGATCATGACCCGAGCTGAAGGCAGACGCTTAATGACTGAGCCACCCAGGCACCCCAAAAAGATCTCATCTTTCTAATAGCAGTCTTTGGCTGTAGAAATCTTCGGTTATACACTTGTCATCTACAGAATATAAACAATTTTGAACACACAGACTAGCTGATTAAATAATTGTGTAAATAAGCTATTAATCTTGTCTTCCTCCCACATATTATCAGCACTGACAAGCTGAGGCAGAAGATAAGCAGTATGTGTAACAGTTAACATGTTCTGAATTATGTCACTAAGAAGACAGTCTATGGGCTTCTTTAATACTGATGTTCAGGTTCCAACCCAGACTTACAGAATAAGGGCGTTAAGAGAACAGGGTCAATAGGAAGCATTAACATATCCTATTTACACATTTAATAAATCAGCTAGTACTCTGCTACATGCATAAAACTGTTTAGATTCTGCAGGTGGCAACTGTGTAACCAAAAATCCTCCTTTTAGAAACCAGTCTTATGTGAGAAAATCTATTTAGGATAGCTGTATAACTTCAGCACTGTTTGTGATGGTGCAAAAAATTGAAAACCACTTGAATACCAATAAGGGAATGATTTAAACAAACAAACAAACAAACAAACAAACAAAAAACACCACTCACAAAAAAACCTGTTGTATAAGCCAGCTGCAGAATATTATGCAACTGTTAAAAAAAATCTGGGCGCCTGGGTGGCTCAGTGTAGGTTAAGCCTCTGCCTTCAGCTCAGGTCACGATCCCAAAGTTATGGGAAGGAGAGGAAAGAGAATGGAAGAAAAAGGGAAAAAAAAGTCTATTGTTTATTTGCTTTGTTACTATGCCATCAGTGATAAACCTCCTTGACAGTATGTCAATATGGCTTGTATCAATACTAAATACTGGTTTCCAATTGGGAAGGACTTTTTAGTGAAAAGTCCTAACTCTACAATGATGATATTTCAAATATCCTACATCTACATATTTTCCAAAATATTTTCATAGCTTCCTGAATTATAAAATAAAAAATCAAAAATCAAAACCATCTAGACTACTTATATTTATGGGCAAAATATATTCTACCAATTACAGAGATAAATCAAAGAGTTTCTATAGCATTATGCTGGACTTTTCCTTAATACATAAATGTCCAAAAACATGTAAGTGTAAAGAGAACATTCTATGAACCATATAAACGTATCCATCACACAGTTTTAACTATGAATACACAGCCAATATTTTTTAATCTACACCCTATGCCAACCTCCAAAGATTATTTACCAACATACTTTAAAATTAAATTTAAAAGCTGTCTGGCATAGTAGCTTTAAATTAAACCACTTTCTTCTACTAATCTAGTATTAACATGCAATGAACTGTCAAGAGCACAAAATACTTGGTGTGAATGAAAGTTAATAATCTGATTATAAGAAGCCAACTTAGGTGTCTATTAATCTTTAATTTCTAAATTTTTATATAATTTATGTCCAAAGAGATTGAAAACAGCAGCACATGTCAGAAAAGGTTTTAGGGCCTACTTAGTACTCATTTTCCTCTTGTGATTATTTTTTAAAGTTACCTTTAAAGAATTCTCCAGGGTAGTCTGGAGGTGGTGATACCATAGGAGAATCTAGGTTGACAATGGATTTCATGACAATTTCTAAAGCATTTCTTCCATACTGCAATAAGAAAACAAACAAATTTAACCAGTTACAGCATTTGGATACATTTCAATCACATGACCAACTGAACACGATAAAAACTATTATGGTAGCAACGGTTCAAAACGAGTAGGACTCAATTATCTTTTTATATAAATGTTATATACGAAACTGTTCACACCTATGCACACGACAGGCGTCCAGTAAATAATTTCATTTCTGGAAATTCATACTTGATTCATTCAGAAGTATTTATTATATTCTTATTTCTAACAGAAATGAAAACAGGATTCTACTGCAGAGCTGATCATCAAAGATCTGGTAAGTAAAAATTTTATAGGACGTTATCATTTTACAGTGAAACCATAAGGGACAGTTTAACGTTTTAAACAGTAACCACTTTCCCTTTTTGTTCACCACAGACATCACACACTACCACAAAATCTCAGACATAATGAAAGCTGAAATGTACCTTATTATCAAAATTGAACCTGCTCAGATCTCTAGATTCTGTTGCTCTTCTGTCACCATGTGTAAGTGCTCCCTATCAAGACATAAAATTTCCAATCAAGGCACAGAAGACAGGCTGTATTCACCATCTTTTACACACAACTACACAACCCAAGAACTTACCAAGCTCTCAAGTCTTTTGGCAACAATAGAAGCAAATCTTTGTTCCCCTGCCAATTCAGAAATCAGAAACACATACTCGGGAGCAGTAACTTGGTTTGATCTATGAGTTCGTCCTGTAACGACATTAAAAATACTGTGTTCACTAGATACAGAGTATTCTGAGATCTATTCCTAGCATTTTAATACTAAGCTGGTATTCAGAAACCCTTACGAGGAAAAATTAAAGAATATATGGACACCTGGGTGGCTCAGTTGGTTACGGGTCTGCCTTCGGCTCAGGTCACATTCCCAGGGTCCTGGGATCGAGTCCTGCATTGGGCTCCCTGCTCCGGGGCAGCCAGCTTCTCCCTCTCCCCCTCCTCCCTACTGATGCTCACTATCAAATAAGTAAGTAAAATCTTAAAAAAAAAAAAAAAAAAAAAAGGTATATATATACACATACATACATACACACACACACACACACAGGGACACATATAATGTACAAAACAATTTCTGTAACTCTCCCAAAGGTATAAAATAAAAAAACTGACTTGAAAAACATCCATATTCAGAATACTCCTCCTTAAAGAACACAAACTGCTACAGAACTGTTCAATGATAAACATATTATTACTTCTGCCCCACTTGGGTTAACCACAATGGTGCTGAAGCACAGCTGCTCTGGATTCTTCCAAAAAAAAAAAAATGGTTTGTTAAAAAGATTTTATTTTAGAGAGACAGAGAATGCACACATCGCTGGGGAGGGCAGGCAGAGGAAAAGAGACTCTCAACTAGACGCCCTGCTGAGCAGAGCCTGATGCAGGGCTCAATCCCATGAGCTGGAGATCAAGACCTGAGCCAAAATCAAGGGTCGGACACTGAACCAACGTAGCTGTCCAGGAGCCCCTAAGCTGTTGGTTTTTTTAAATCATCAGGTCACATCAGGACATAAACATGTAAGACAAGGGAAGAGAAATATGCCTTCAGTAAAGCCACCAAAGGCTAAAAAGGACATGAGGTGGCAGATGCTCTGACACAGACCACATATATCCTGAAGATTGATAATGGAGGAAACTCCTGAGGAACACTGTTATGAGATATAATGCCAGAAACTGCAAGAAATCTAGCACAGATCTTTTACATTTCTTAAAATAGATAAGAAACGGCTTCACGTATTCTATAATTTTAAATGTAATACACAAACAGCTCCAAAATCCACGTGTCCTGTTTTAAGATACTGAACGTTAAATATAGGTTTTGATATGTAAACATTTCCCCAATGATTCCTAGCTATCTATTAAGTGAAATTCACTTGTAGGAACTTACCAAATTGCTGAATTGCTCTATCAGCACTCCAGGGTAATTCCAAAGTCATATGAACTCTTCGCCTTTGATTTTTAGCTCTCCGATCTGCTTGTAATGAAATACCCGAGCTGGCAGCTTCTGAGATAATAGCAATATTCTGTACCAAATATAAGGGGGAAAAATAATCACCTTTGCACAAAGACAAGTAGGCAAGTGCCCTAAATAAAGTTCTTAGAGTACTAGTGGCTCACCAATACCTATTCTCCCCTTTTTCCTAAATTATAACCACCTCCTCTCAAGTTTAGGCAGGTACATGGCTGTCCAGAATCATGACATTTCTCACTTTCCCCTGCAGCTAATTGTAGGCACACCCCAGTAGGGTGTAGGTGGTATGAACATTTAAGAAATGTCCTTAGAAGTCAAGGACATGCCCTTCTCTTCATTCGCGTCCTCTCTGCCAGATGAAAGACAGAGGTATAATGACTGGAAGTGAAACAGGTAACCTAAAAATGGAGCCTCACACGTTAAAGGACTAAGACAGGAGCGGCATTATCTTTAAGGAGCCATAACAGCCCTGGTCCACCTACTCGAACTTAACACATGGAAGAAATTACCTTCTACCTTCTTTAAGTCAATACGATTTTGGATTTTCTGTCACTTAACAACTAAAACTAATTCCAACTAATATAAGTGTAATGCACATGGGCATAAATTCATAAAACAAAGTATGTAACACAACTGATTAATACCTCTACCTACAATCTTTAGAATGTGTAACATGATGAAAGCCTAGGTGGCTTAGTCAGTTAAGTATCCAAACTCTTGATTGCGATTCAGGTCATGATCTCCTGGTCATGAGAGCAAGCCCAGCGCTGGGCTCCATGCTCAGTGGAGATTCCATCCCCCTTTCCCCTCCCTCCAGTTCTCGTGCATGTACTCTAATTCCCTAAAGTAAATCAATTAAAAAAAAAATGTAACATAAGCTATTTGAATATATTTATAAAAGATAACTTTGGGGGAATCTATGTGACTCAGTTGGTTAAGCGTCTATGGATCAGGTCATGATCTCAGGGTCCTGAGACTGAGCCCCAAACCTGACCCTATGCTCAGTGGGGAGTCTGTTTGTCCTTCTCCTTCTCCCCCTCCACCCTGCTCATGCTCTGTCTCCCTCTCAAATAAACAAAAATCTTTAAAAAAAGAATAAAGACAACTTTGATAGTAACTATCTTCTCCTTTTTTAGCTGCAGAAAGCCTCATTAAAATATAAAGAAAAAAGTGGTAAAACAGATTTTATTCTACCATTTAAATTAAGGAATTAAGGGGGCACCTGGGTGGCTCAGTGGGTTAGGGCCTCTGCCTTTGGCTCAGGTCACGATCCCAGGGTCCTGGGATCGAACCCCACATCGGGCTCTCTGCTCAGCAGTAAGCCTGCTTCCCCCCACCCCTCTGCCTGCCTCTCTGCCTACTTGTGATCTCTGTCAAATAAGTAAATAAAATCTTTAAAAAAAAATTAAAATAAATTAAGGAATTAAGTTTAAGTGGTATTCCTACCTATTTTTTAGCTATCTCATCAGCAACCGCTTATGGAAATTTCAAGTAGATGATGGGGAAGAACTAGCCTAAGAATCTCAAAATTGACTGATGTTTACTGATTCAGTAAACAAAGAACCTCTGGTGGCAACCAAGGTGTCTAGAGTGGCGAGGAATGAAAGACAATCTACACATCATTCAGAATGAACATTGTAGTGAGACATGTCATAGCAATAAGAAAATCAGCAAAACCAAAGGACACTAGTAATCTGAGTATGCTTAAATATATTTCTAGAGTCAAAATCAGACTGACATTGGAGAGTTGCATTAGATGTTATGCCACTAAAATGACCTAGGGAAATACAGTATTTTAATATTCTGACTAAAAATTTAAAAAGCTGGGACACCTGGGTGGCTCAATGGTTAAGCTTCTGCCTTTGGCGCAGGTCATGATCCCACGGTCCTGGGATCAAGTTCCAACATCGGGCTCCTTGCTCAGCAGACAGCCTGCCTCTCCCTCTGCCTCATTCCCTGCTTGTGCTCTCTCTGACAAATAAATAAAATCTTAAAAAAAAAAAAAAAAAAATTATAGCGTGCCTGGGTGGCTCAGTTAGTTAAGCGTCTGCCTTTGGCTCGGGTCATTATCCTAGTGTCCTGGGATCAAGCCCCGCATTGGGCTCCTTGCTCAGCTCTCCTTCTCCCTCTGCCAGCTCTCTCCTTGCTTATGCTATCAAATGGGTAAATAAAATCTTTAAAAAACATTTTTTTAGGGGCGCCTGGGTGGCTTAGTGGGTTAAAGCCTCTGCTTTCAGCTCAGGTCATGATCCCAAGGTCCTGGGAACAAGCCCTGCATTGGGCTCTCTGCTCAGCAGTAAGCCTGCTTCCCCCTATCTTTCGCTCTCTGCCTGCCTCTCTGCCTACTTGTGATCTCTGTCTGTCAAATAAATAAATAAAATCTTTAAAAAAATTTTTTTTAAATTAAAAAGCCTCCAAATTAAGAGCCACATCTAATTCTGTACACAATACTTTATTGCATTCAATTTGTGAAAAAATAATGAAAATGTATAAATATTCAGTGATTATGTGCAACTACTAAAAATGAAAGAATAATAACATTCAACACACTTAATTTCTTCTTCTTTTTTAAAATTTTGTTTATTTATTTGACAAACAGAGAGATAGCGAGGGAGGGAACACAAGCAGGGAGAATGGCAGAGGGAGAAGGAGACTTTCCCCCAGGCAGGGAGCCTGACACAGGGCTCGATTCCAGCACCCTGGGATCATGACCTGAGCTAGAGGCAAATGCTTAATGACTGAGCCACCCAGGCGCCCCCACACTTAATTTCTTTTAAAAGAAAAAAAACCCTAAATATTCACTTAAATATACAGACATTGTATTTTTCATGAAAAAGCATCCCAGAGGGTGCCTTGGGTGGCTCAGTGGTTGAGCGACTGCTTTTGGCTCAGGTCAAGATCCTGGAGTCCCAGGATCAAGTCCTATATCGCCCTGCTCAGTGCAGAGTCTGCTTCTTCCTCTGACCCTCCCCTCTCTGTGCTCTTTCTTTCAAATAAGTAAGTAAAATCTTTTTAAAATACAAGAAAGAAAGAAAAGCATTCCAGAAAAACATACCTTGTCTCCATCCATAAATCTTTGTTTTTCTGTGATATTTAGTATTTCTACAGGGACATCAAGTTCAGATCTCGACTCGTAAGATATGCTTCCGTCATCGTTGCTTACAACCCGCCCTTTGCGACCAGTCATCTGCAAAGCCAAACAGTGTCACTTACAGTTAAGGTACCTGATGAAGATACAGGAAGCACAGGACCCCTGCATTAGAGAAACTTGGTGGGAGAGAGAAGGGGATGATGAAGCCGACACACAGTGCCACCTGTGCTGCACTAGGCAGTGTCCCGGAGAGAATGTCGCAACAGTTTCTGGTTTTGAAAAGTTGAAATTCCCGCAAAGAAAGCAGATACGTGGCAACAATCACAAAGGCTGCATGACAGGTACAATAACAGATCAGTGTGCTGAATAAACACACAGATACTAAGGATAAGAATTCCTGACTCTGGGATGACAAACTGATCAAAGGTTCTAAAATCTAAGAGAAAATTAGACAATTATGTGATGATATTCAAAATATCACTCATTCAATAGGGTTTGGAGTTGACCAAAAAAAGGGACCAAGACAGCCCTGATCTGGTCATATTTACCTCAGCAACATTCTCAGGGCCACCAAGTTCATCAATAAGTTCATCCAGGGTATTAGGAGGGAGGTCTTCTGCTAATTTCTCTAGTTTATCAAGTAGGTCTTTCTTCATCTGTTGGGCCCTTTCCACAGCGTCCTGACTTGTTATAAGGCTACTGTTACTGTTGGTGTTACTGTTAGCTAGATAAAGTACAATTGTTAAAAATCATTACAAAGTTTAAGTATGTTTTGTTTGAAAGTACATCTCAACAGACAAACCAAGCTTCCCCACAGATACCTGGTGCACTGTTAGGAGCAGGCAAAATTACTGGTGTAGATGAAAAACTAGGTCGTTTTGATCCAAGACCTGATGCTAATAAGGCACTTTGAATAGAATCTGGATCTATACTTTTCTTTTTTTTTTTATCTTTGTTTTTCTTGTGATCTTTTCTGATTAACCAGGGATCTGAAAGTTAAGGAAAGATATGTGTCAAATCATCTGTAAAAGCAGCAGAATCTTCAAAGGAAACAACCCTTGAATTTTTTGTATTAACTGGTAACTTAAAAATCATCACCAACTTCAGCGATCCAGTATATCCAATACACTGTCAGATAAAATTCCATAGTATGAGGTTAAAAATCACTGTACAAATGATTGGGTGGCTGGGCGACTGAGTCGGTTGAGTGTCCAACTCTTGGTTTTGGCTCAGGTTGCGATATCAGGGTGGTGAGATCGAGCCCCACATAGGGCTCCACACCAGGTGCAGAGTCTGCGTGTACCTCTCCCTCTGCTCCTCCAACTCTCTCTCTCTCTCATCTCTGGATAAATAAAAATCTACTACTACTACTACTACCACCACCACTACTACTACTGTTAATAATAATAGGGGCGCCTGGTTGGCTCAGTCGTTGAAACGGCTGCCTTCAGCTCGGGTCATGATCCTGGGATCCTGGGATCAAGCCCCACATTGGGCTCTCTCCCGCTCCCCCTGCTTGTGTTCCCTCTCTCGCTATCTCTCTCTGTCAAATAAATAGTCTTCAAGAAGATAAATAAAATCACTGCATAAAACTTAGGCCACTATCTCACACAAATGAGCTGAACTACCAAAAGACAAACAAGCTCGGGGAGTTCTCCACTAAGCAAAGATTAGATTCTGTGCAATGGTTTGTACTGCACTGGGGGAAAAAAAACAGGTTTTATTTATTTATTTATTTAAAAAAATCTTATTTATGGGGCACCTGGATGGGTGGCTGTCATTAAGTGGCTGCCTTTGGCTCAGGTCATGATCCCAGGATCCTGGGATCAAGCCCTGCATCGGGCTCCCTGCTCAGAAGGAAGCCAGCTTCTCCCTCTCTCACTCTCCCTTGCTTATGTTCCCTCTCTCGCTGTCTCTGTGAAATATATACATAAACAAATCTTTAAAAATAAATAAAGATTTTATTTATTTGAGAGAGAGTGTATGCATAAGCGGGGGAGCGGCGAGCGGAGGGAGAGGGAGAAGCAGGCCCGCCATGGAGCAGGGCCTGATGCGGGACTTGACCCCAGGACCCTGAAATTATGACCTGAACCAAAGGTAGATGCTTAACCGACTGAGCCACCCAAGGTGCCCTGAAAAAACAGGTTTTAATACAATATCCTGTTTCAAACACACAGAAATAACCTTTCATTAACATTTAATTAAGTACTGACGTACTTACCATCTTCATCATCCTCACTAGACTCATCTCTGAATGGGTTGAAATCATCGTCGTCTCCGGAGCTCATGTTTTTCGAGCTCTCATAGTCACTTTCTTCATGATCAGATACGTCCGATTCACTTCCACTATCATCGGAACTACTACCAGTAAGGCCACCTACTTTCCGCGCTTTCTTGGCTTCTCGAGTTATTTCTTCACCTACCCTCAAACCCAAAATAAGACAGTCAGCCCAAACACACTCTTCTAAAGATCTAGGAAACTACTTTTAGTTCACGAGCTTTTAAAGTGAGAAACATACAGGAAAAACTTTAAGTATATAAATTTCATAAGTAAATGTTAACCTTTTAGATTTCCTTAAGAAATCATGTTATGTTCAATTATTAAGAAAAAATTAGACACGTAAATATAAATTCAAGACTACCTTTAAGTGTACATGTTTCAAAATAAATTTAGGACAACAGAGATAACAGAGAATCTCCAGCATTTTCACAGTTTAATTGTGAATCAGGTTGAGAGCAGAGGCCTAATAATTAAATAACTCTATTAAACTTCATTTGTAAAAAGTCAGACTAGGTGCTGATTTTATTTTATTGAGTACTCAGGAAAGATATATGGGAGATGCCTGGGTGGCTCAGTCGGTTGATTTAAGTGTCTGACTCTTGGGTTTTGGCTTAGGTCAATGATCTCAGGGTGGTGGTATCCAGCCCTAAGTTGGGTTCCATGTATGGAGCCAGCTTAAGATTCTCTCTCTCTCCACCTCCCTACCCTCCCTGCCCCTCCCTACCACTCATGCTCATGTGTTCTCTTCCTCATCTAAAAAAAAGCAAAAAAGAAAAAAAAAGAAAAAGACATAGACATCTGGAACAAACCATTAAAAGTTTACTTATTAATGAGAGAGATGGTAAAAAGTACATAATTCAGGAAAGATAAACATGACCACGTGACCATTTTAAGATGTCACTAATTCTAAAACACAGCATTACTTTTTTTGCCACTACAATTAAAAAATACTGTCAATTATAACCATCAATCCACTTTCAAGCATGTTAAAAATGTAAAAAACTGTCCTTCTTAGAACAGATGAACTAAGGTTACACTGTCAGCCACTTGTGTTTGGAACACACCCAGCATCAGACAGTTGTTGCTACAGAGATGATCACCGTCTTAATGACAGCCTGAGAAGTTAACTTCTGAAAGCCGAACAGTTTACTAGGAATCTAAACAGAATTCGAAGTTGGCATATGATAAAACATCCAATAAGCACTGAGTATATTTCTAACAATAACTACAAATGCCTCTTTAAAAAAACTATAAAAACACAGTATGTATATATGCATACGCAGCTCTGACAACAGTAATGCCCAGATTTTGTTTTCCATAGATTGCCCATTAGCTGTGTAAACGTGGGGAGATTCCTTAACCTTTTAATCTTGTCATGCCTTTTTGTCCTCTGTCTAGAAAAAAAAAAAAAAGATCTATTTTCATATGGATCCCTTATGGGTTAAATGAAATAACAGAAGGGCAGTGCTGAAGACAGTGCCTAGCACCAAACTGTCACTTGTGCATTTAAAACCACGTAAGTGACAGCGAAAGTATGCAACCACGTGCCAATTTAAAAGGAAGGCAGCTCAATCCCCAAATATTGCTCCTCAAAATGCTCACATTTATACTATTTTCAACATCATTTAAAGAAAAGAACCCACCTTTCCGCTTCTTTACTTTATTTTCTTTACAAGGACTATCTCTTGGAGAACTATTGTTACTTGGAGCTGTCAAATCAATTCCTAGCAAACTATAAAGTTTCTTCCGGTCTGGAGCTGGGAAGTGTTTTTCAATAAGTGACTGCAACACTCCTCTGTTTACACGAGAGAAAAAGTGGTAATTAGAGGTTCAGTCTGCAAAATAATTATTATCTGTAAAGTCTGAAGGGGTGCTTGGGTAGCACAGCTGATCATCCAACTCTTGGTTTTGGCTCAGGTCATGATCTCATGGGTTGTGGGGTCAAGCCCCCTGCCAGCCTCCATGCTCAGCAGGGAGTCAGCCTAAAGTTCTCTCCCTCTGTTCCTCTCCCCATGAGTGCTCACACTTGCTCTCTCAAATAAATAAATAAAATTAAAACATATATATATACTTTAAAACATGTTTCTTAAAAATAAATATACTTTAATACTACAAAATATTAATAATCCAGCTGAAATAATTTAATATTCTAGGCTAAGGCTGTTGAATTGAAATATAGTTCAAGCCCAGCCAATTATGCAAGTTTTACATTTTCCAGTAGTTACATTAAAAAGTGAAGTAAATGGGCGCCTGCGTGGCTTGTCATTAGGTGTTTGCCTTTGGCTCAGGTCATGATCCCAGAGTCCTGGGATCTAGCCCTGCTTAGGGCTCACTGCTCGGCTGGAAGCTTACTTCTCCCTCTCTCACTCCCCCTGCTTATTATGTTCCTTTTCTCACTGTGTCTCTCTCTAAATTCCTTAAAAAAAAAAAAAAAAAAAAAGTTAAAACAGGAGAAAAAGAAATTTTTTAAGGATTTTATTTATTTGACAGAGCGCGCCTGATGCACACTCAATCTCAGGACCCTGGGATCATGACCTGAGCTGGAGGAAGACACTTAACTGAGTAAGCTACGCAGGCGCCCGAAACACTTTTTTAGTAATAGATTTCAGGACACAGACTAGTATCAAATCAACATGCAATCAGTGAGATGTAAAACATTACTTTTTTTAAAGTCTTGTCATTTTGTACTCACAGGGTATCTCAATTTTGGACTTGCCATTGATAGGCACACGTGACTAGTTCCTATCACTTTAAACAATGTAGTAACAGGCACACAAGTATAGAGAAAGATTAGGAGGTGCACGTTTTGCTTTTGGAAGAAGTTCTGAATTACAACCATCTTAAAAGGAAGGAGCCACTCGAATATATTTCCTAACACAAGAAATAGTATAGCAGGGCAAAGGGTATTTTGCTAATTTTACGATTAGAGTTAAAATTGGCAGGGTAGGCAAAGAAATTGAAAAACAATGCCTAAATCATCTTTTTAAAATTCTCATGACTGTCTGCAATTTTAATACTATAGATAACTACAGAGAACCATTGCTCGTATTGCTCCTCTGAATAATGATAATTTCAAACACGCAAAGCTGAAACTAAAACTCAAACTATTCTAGGCTGTCACAGATTTCTGAGATCTACAACACAAAAATCACACCCTTCCATTAGTGTAAATACTGGGCACAGTATCGTCAAAATGCTTAACAATCGAGTACTTCTGTGTTACAGTTTTCCAATGGATATATTGTGATGAACAAGCGTAGAATGGAACCTAAGATCAGAAAAACTTTAATGATGATACAGATGAATCAAAACTTCTGCCTCCAGGAAATGCCAACATTCAAACTAATCTAAATAAAAACTCAAAACTAAAAACATTACTTGGCAGTTGAAACGAAATCATTTAATTCTCCTCCACCCTCTTCCAAGGCTTCTAATGTTCTAGCTTCGCCTGTTGATTGCAGACCAATTACAACACACTGGAGAGAAAAATAAAATTAAAATAAAACTATGCATGTGGTTTCTTAGGATATATTTTAAATATTTAGCTAAGAAAAAAAAGGATTTCAAACAAGAATGACCCATTATTACGTGTGTGCTCATTTATTTATTATACATATATCTGAGGCATGCTATGTGTAAAAAGCTTAGCTAGGAAATAGGATTACATCCTGGACATTCAGTTCTTTGTGATTTAAACAGATATATCTATATTGCTAAAAAGAAAAAAAGCTGTATGGTAATCTATACCCACACGTCAGCTGTAGTTGTATCTGAGGATGGCCAAGTTAGTGTGATTTACTTTTTTATATACTTTTTGAACTATCTAAATTATTTATAAATAGGCACCGCTTTTATTATTTTTAAAAATAGTAAATTTTAAAGTCTTACTATGTTAATACCTTAATTCTCAGAAAGAACAGGCTTTACAAGCAGAAAGCCTGAACACCCAGAAGATTAGGAAACATAACCAAAGACCAAATCTCTCAGTGTGTTCTTCAACTTACTTTTCCATTCTTGATTTCTTCTCGAGCTAGTTGCACAACCCTTTTAACTTTGGATGCTATGCACAAGTATTTGAAAAATCTCTGGTGCGCAGACCAGAACTGACCCCACATGGATTTCTTCATGCGTTGCTCAGCATCAATCAGATCTGCGGCTTGCTGAAATCTCTCTCTGGCAATGACCCACTGAAGAGGGAAAATCCACATTTTAGACATTTCATCTATGCATGTGATTTTTAAAAAATGACTGATTCAAGCAAAATACTGTTAAGTACAAGACTAATACTAATTTAATGAACCATCTTTAGTAACTTGGCCATCTCTAAACAAATGTTTTTCAGGATGATCACAGAGGTGCCTCTAAATTCTTATCAGCTACTAGAGTCATTGCAGGGAATAGTTACATTGTAATTTTTAAAATTATGCAACTTAGGGGTGCCTGGGTGGCTCAGTCAGTTAAGCATCTGCCTTTAGCTCAAGTTATGATCCCCCGGTCCTGGAATCAAGCCCCACTGGGCTCCCTGCTTAGCAGGGAGCCTGCTTCTCCCTCCTCCATTCCCCCTGCTTGTGTTCCCTCTCTTGTTATGTCTCCTTCTGTCAAATAAATAAAATCTTAAATAAATAAATAAACAAACAGAATTATGCAACTTAAACATTTTTTTGGAAAAAAGTTTAAGGCTTAAGTGATTTTTATACCCAACACGGGGCTCGAACTGACAACCCCAAGGATCAAGAATTGCACACCATCCTGACTCGGCCAGCCACATGACCCATTACAAATGGCTTTTTTAAAATAAATTACTTTAACAAAAGAGAAAGCTTAGGAAATTAGGAAAATGGGCATCTAGCGCCTTATCTGTTGTTTTATAGCAAAATATATACTTGTGAGGTGAGAGACATTAAAAATACTAGGAATTAAGAAAAAACTTCTCACCAGCTTGACTGCTTTGTTATACATTTTCACATAGCTCTGAGAAAGAAGAACTTCCTCAATTTTGAAGGTCACTCCAGTAAAGCTCAGCTGTCGAGCAATGTACATTCCTCTAAGCTTCATATCCATAGCAACAATTTCCATGGCACCAACACCTCTGAATAAAATTAAAACACACAGTAACTATCATTAAATATAGTAGGGCTTTAATATAAGTGGAAAAAGGTTTTAGCAGTAACACCTCTTTTAGACTGCAACTGAGAAAAGACAATGTATACAGACAATGTATACTGTAAATTGCTTTACCTCCGTTCTACTGCTTGGATAAAATCACTGAATTCTCTAAATGGAGTTCCCTCACCCCATATTCCAAGACGGTTCATATAGGCCATGTTTCGTGGTTCAGAAGCACCTGAAAAATTCAGAAACAAAACATTTTATAGCTGAAAAAATAACCCACACATATCTTTCAAATAAAATAACAACTCACCAGTGGCACTAGCATAAACAACTCTGGCCTTTGGCAATTTGTTCTGAAGCTCTAGAACTGCTAAGCCTGTCTTGGTTGGCTTTGAAGAACCAACAGGACATAAGTTTTTTGCTTTATGACATTCATCAAACACTATCTGTATAGAAAGAATTAAGGAACATATCACAGTAGCAAGTATCGCTAATCCTTAAGGAAAACTTAAGGTTTATTTGAAAGCCTTGGGAAAAATCCCAAATTTCTGGGGTGGTAGAATTTGGTGGGGTCAAATTCAAGACAATCAGGAAGGGGAGAGATGCTGTGGATAATAAACCCCTGAGCATTAACTTTTTAAAATAACACCAACATACCCATCATCCGGTGTTTGGTTTTTTTTTTCATCATCTGGTGTTTTGTTAAACCTTAACATTTTACTGTTATTTGCCTGAGACGGTTTTCTTTTTAAGGTAAGAAACATAAATGAAGCCCTCTATGTGCCTCTCCTTGACATCACCCCTCCCTCTCAAGTCCGAGAGGCAACCAAATTATTTTGCTTATTTATACTGACCAGATATTTCTTAATTAGAATGTAAGAAAAGACTCCACTGTGGCAAAGTATGTCCACCACACAGATAATTTTGGCAAATTCTCTAACTAGAAGTATAATCGGTGACTAATTTAATTACCATTTGAAAAACATTCTTCATGCATAACAGTGAAAGGTGTGCTACGGGCAAATAGGTTTGGAAATCACTAAGTTCACAGTTTCTTCCCCTTAGTCTTCTCAGGTGCTTTACTACGTGAATATGCAGTATGAATCCCCAAAAGCGGAATACAGTATTCATCACTTCCCACATCTGTTAACATTTTCCTAAACCAGGAGCTTAAATATCGGCCTCTTACATGACAGCTACAAAACAGAATCTCCCTTGGACATTGGGAAGTCATTAAAGCTATCATCCAGGCAATTTCAGTTAATCTCCGGATGTAGTTGTTTTGTTGTTGTTGTTTTTTAAGATTTTATTTATTTGAGAGAGAGCAAGCAAGAGCGGGGAGAAGGTCAGAGGGAGAAGCAGATACCCGAGGAACTGAGAGCCTGATGTGGGACTTGATCCCGGAACTCCAGGATCATGACCTGAGCCGAAGTCAGTGGCTTAAACAACTGGGCCACCCAGGCATCCCTCAGGATGTAGTTTTAAATGTATGTTTGTTTGTGTATGTTTGTTTGTTTTTGAAAGATTTTATTTATTTACTCGACAGAGAGAGATCACAAGTAGGCAGAGAGGCAGGCAGAGGGAGAGGGGGAAGCAGGTTCCCCGCCATGCAGAGAGACTGATGTGGGGCTCGATCCCAGGACCCCAAGATCATGACCTGGGCCGAAGGCAGAGGCTTAACCCACTGAGACACCCAGGTGCCCCAATGTTTATTTTTACATTCACTTTTGGTCATTTAAAAAATACAAAAACATTTGTTGTAAAGGATACCACTCCATCGAAGTCATCACCGCACCAATGCAGAAGTTGTTTTAATCTAGTTTTATATTTACCGCCAGACTGACTTTCACCAATAAGGGAAGAATAGGTAGCAAAAATGACACCCTTTTTGACGCTCCCATTATGTTTGGAAGAAATTTTTCCATATTTAAACTAAAAAAGAAAAAAAGAAGAATTTAACATATACACTTTTTTCTCCGAAGAATCTATCCCACTCAAACGTCTATAGGAGGAAATTGGTGGGTCCATCATGTGTTTTAGGGAAGTCAAAAGAGCCCCTAAGACCCCACACACAAAACTTCTACATATGTATACACACACACATACGTGCATACACCCACACATATATACACACACATATATACAACTTCATGTTACAACGATCTAGTTTTCATCAAAGTCTCAAAAAACATTTTTTTTTTTAAAGATTTTATTCGTTTTGAGAAAGAGAGTGAGCGAGCATGCATGGGGAGGGTAAGGACAGAGGGAGAGGGAGAAGCAGACTCCCCACTGAGCAGGGAGCTTGATGAGGGGCTCAGTACCAGAACCCTGGGATCATAACCTGAGACAAAGGCAGATGCTCAACTGACTGAACCACCCACGTGTACCTCAAAAACTTCTATCAACAAGAAAAGATTACAGGGATGCCTGGGTGGCTCAGTTGGTTAAGCAGCTGCCTTCGGCTCAGGTCATGATCCCAGCGTCCTGGGATCGAGTCCCACATTGGGCTCCTTGCTCATCAGGGAGCCTGCTTCTCCCTCTGCCTCTGCCTGCCATTCTGCCTGTGCTCGCTCTCTCTCCCTCTCTCTCTCTGACAAATAAATAAGTAAAATCTTTAAAAAAAAAAAAAAAGAAAGAAAAGATTACAAACCAAACCCTCACTCCAAGAAAAAAAAGTCACAATATTCACTCTATAAAATATTTATTATGCACTTACTGTATGGCAAGTCATGATAATTAAATTCTAAGGCATATATAAAGAACCATGATTAGTAATTAATATACCCTTCTTCAATTGTGCGGACTAAAAAAAAAAAAAAATCAAAAATATTTCTAGATGCCAGTCACATGTTTTTAGTTTTGAGTTGTGAGGAATCATTCAAGACACAGTACTTTACCTACAAATCCACACAGATACCCACCCAAAAAAGCCAATGATGAGCAGGGCAACACTGAACCAACCTAGGGCTCACATGGAAGTAGATTTACATTTACCTATTTTCAAAAGGCTAACAGGGAGGTACCTACCTGCAGGAAGTCTGCCTAATGTACTACTCCGGCTCTTGGTACACAGGAGGTCAGTAATGATTTGCCAAATGAACATTAAGATTACTATCATATTATAGTATGCTTTAGATAGTTGGGACACATTTTCTTCCACCGGACAGAATTGTTTTAACATGAACACAGGTACAGATACAAAAATCCAGTGGGTTTTTCCAAATCAATCTCCAAGCCTCAAAAACTCTCTATGTGCTGCGAGTACCTGTCCACACAGCTTTACTATGCTATACCCTGTTACTCACAGGTACGAGTTTCAGCCATGTAAGGTTACCTCGGAAACAAAGACAAAAAGAGCACCAAAAACTGAGAACTCCATGATGACAGAGACAAGGCCCATTTTGTTTGCCACTATACAACCGTACCTAGCACAGTACTTGATGCACAGGAACCCACAAACCAAGAACAACTAACACTCACTAATGTCTTCTGTAAAATAATTCACTTAATCCTCACAACTCTACAAAGTAGAAACTGTTATTCCCATCTCATAGACGAGTCAATATTTACTGAATGACTAACCAAATAGAAAACTTTCATACCTTGTTTAATGAATGAACCAAAATGTTTTTTGCTCCAATATCCCTCAAATCTCTTTCAGCATCATACTTTAAATCATTTGAAACACTGAACCTGCCACATAAAAAAGAAAAAAAAAGTAATTAAATGCAAATTCCATCAATCTAGCAATATTCAGGATAAATAAAAACAGGGCTTGACATTTAAAAAAAAAAAATACACCTGCTCATTAAAACCCATCTTACATGCTGGAGTAACTATTCACAAAAGAAGCTTCCACAGACAGTCTTTGGCACTTACCATAATGCTCTTTTTCTACTCAACAAGTAATTTTCATAGATAATTCCCGCTATTGTCCTTCCTTTCCCCACACCAGCACCATCACCTATCAAGAAGCCAGCACGATCTCCATTAGGTAGGAATGTTTCATGTTGCTGAAAAAGAGAAAGCTGATAACTAAGCTACTCCTTTAGAGACTGGGATGATCCATCTTTCAAACACTGTTGTAGGAATATATTAATGTGATCTATGTGTATATAAACTGCACAAAGTTTAGCTCAGTATGGATTCCTTCTTAATATTTACTATGTATTCTTTCTGGCTACAATCACATGCACCAGGTAACTGAAGTTACTGGAGTTAACAAATTGGTTAGCATTCTTCTTCTTCTTCTTTTTTTTTTTTTTAGGATTTTATATATTTATTTGACAGACAGAGATCACAAGCAGGCAGAGAGGCAGGCAGAGAGAGGGGGAAGTAGCTCCCCACTGAGCAGAGAGCCCGATGTGAGGCTGGATCCCAGGACCCTGGGATCATGACCTGAGCCGAAGGCAGAGGCTGTAACCCACGGAGCCCCCCAGGTGCCCCAGTTAGCATTCTTCTGTGTCTCTTTCAATGCCTGCATAGTCAAATACAAACAATCACACATAAATATGGAGGACGGTTAGCTGTTCGGCTGTTGCTTATTTTACAGAAATGGAGTGCAGAAGAAATCCTCTCAAGAAAACTGGCATAACTAATTCATGGTTTTGAAAGTCAGTACAATACCCATACAATAATACCACAGTTCATTCAAATAGCCACCAGGGTATGGGATTTTTAGGTCCTTTTTAGCATTCAGGAACCAGGATTAAAAGAGCTGCAACAAACAGTCATCCATCCATCTCCTTAATGTATATATTCTTAACCTAATAGTTGTATTGGATAGACTCCCAATAATGGAATTGTTAGGTCAAAGGACATATGTAATTTTTTTTTCAAGCAAGCTCTACGTTCAATGCAAGGCTAGAACTCACGACCCCAAGATCAAGAGTCATGCTCTATCGACTGAGCCAGCCAGGCATAATAGGATATATGTAATTTTATTTTTATTTATTTTAAAAGAGAGAGGAAGCACATGCACAAGAGCTGGGTTTGGGGAGAGGACAGAGAGAATCTTAAGCAGGCTCCACACCTAGGACAGAGCCTGAGATCATGACCCGAGCGGAAATCGAGAGTCTGACACTTAACCAACTGAGCTACCCAGGCACCCCACATTTTTAATACACATCCCCAGTGAATTCCAAAAAGGTTATAACATTTTTCATTTCCAGTAAAAGTGAACCCCCTGCATCCATGCTACCCCTTTAATTTTTTAACACACGAGGGGCACCTGGGTGGCTCAGCTGGTTGGGCGTCCAACTCTTGATTTCAGCTTAGGTCATCATCTTGGGTTCATGGGATCAGGCCCTGCATTGGGCTCCACACTCAGCACAGAGTCTGGTTATCCCTCTCCCTCTGCTTCTCCCCCTGCTCACACATGCTCTCTCTCTAAAATAAGAAAATAAATAATTTTCTAACAAATGAAACTTTTGTAAAATCATAAGCACAAGTTTTTCATTCAAGGAAAATTGCCTTTATGTTAAAGCAACTATATTATATGGACAAGGATTAAAAGATAAATATATTGTATGTAATTATGAAATACTGCTTACCTGGGCTGCATAAGTAATTGCCTCCAGCTGTAACGCTGACAACCAGCCATTATCAATGGTTTCTTCAGAAATGGATGTTTTGTACCAAACATCAGGAGGAGTAACACTGGATAAAGAACTTGTTTCCACTACAGCATCTGGATGACGTAGGCCAATTTTTACTAAATGAAAATTTAAAAATACTTCATTTTAATTTTTCTAGGTAATAATGCTCCCAGTTTTATTACATAATATTGCCATATTTTTGCTGTCAGAGAAAATAAAAGTAAGTAAGTAACTATACACTCCAGGATTCTAAAAAGGCACCGATAGGTGGTAAATTAATACTTAAATTTGATAAAAGGACCAATTTATCAAATACTTACGGTTTAAATAGAGACCTGCTGATTAAAAAAGATATAGAAAAGGGTGCCTGGGTGGCTCAGTGGGTTAAGCCTCGGCCTTCAACTCAGGTCATGATCTCAGAGTCCTGGATCGAGCCCCTCATCGGGGCTCAGCTTCCCCCTCTCCCTGCCTCTCTGCCTACTGTGATCTCTCTCTGTATCAAATAAATAAATAAAATCTTAAAAAAAAAAGATACAGAAAAATATCAACTTAAGTTTGTATCACCAGGTTCCCCAGTAGCAACAAAATAAAATCCTAGATTTGGAAATCTATTTGAGGGACGCCTGGGTAGCTCAGTTGGTTAAACGTCTGCCTTTGGCTCAAGTCATGATCCCAGGGTCCCGGGATAGTGTCTCACTCACATCGGGCTCCTTGCTCAGCAGGGAGCCTCTGCTGGCCACTCACCCTGCTTATGTGCATGCTAACAAATAAATAAATCTGGGGCGCCTGGGTAGCTCAGTGGGTTAAAGCCTCTGCCTTCGGCTCAGGTCATGATCGAGCCCCGCATCGGGCTCTCTGCTCAGCAGGGAGCCTGTTTCCCCACTCTCTCTCTCTCTGCCTGCCTCTCTGCCTATTTGGGATCTCTCTCTGACAAATAAATAAAATCTTTAAAAAAATACAAACAAACAAATAAATCTTTAAAAAAAAATCTATTTGAATGAATCATTCACTTGAATTAGTAAAACAAAAAATCTGGAATTTAATTTTATTCTGAAAGGTATTTTAATGGAAATCTTGGATATAAAACTAAACAGCAACTAATTCCTCAAAATGCATTATGTGAATAGTTTTAAATAAAGGTCAGAAAACTTTTTCTATAAATAAGTCAATTAGTATTTACAGCTTTGCTGAGCAGCTGGTCTATTACTGAACAATGCCATTGTAGCAGTGTAAAAGCAGCCACAGCCAATAAATAAATAAACAAACTCATGGCCATAGTTATTTTCCAATAAAACTTTATATAAACAGGCAATGGTCCAAATTTAGTTTGCTGACCTCGGTTTAAAGGGCCACGGGTAAACTTTCAATTCTTTTATGAAAACCATTATGGGGAGTGAGGGAAACCACCCATTTGAGATACCACAACCTAAGATTCTTTTTATTTTTTCTTTTTTTTTTTTTTTAATTTATGTATGGGGGCACCTGGGTGGCTCAGTGGGTTAAAGCCTCTGCCTTCAGCTCGGGTCATAATCCCAGAGTCCTGGGATCAAGCCCCACATTGGGCTCTCTGCTCAGCGGGGAGCCTGCTTCCCCCTCCTCTCTCTCTCTGCCTGCCTTCTCTGCCTACTTGTGATCTCTGTCAAATAAATAAATAAAATCTTAAAAAAATAATAAAATAAAATTTATGTATGCATATGTTCTTTTTAAGTAGGTTCCACATCCAAACTGGGGCTTGAACTCATGACTCTGAGATCAAGGTCTCATACTCTACCAAGTGAGCCAGCCAGGCACCACCTGAAGTTAATTTTAAATGACCAGAAATTATGGGATCCTAAAGTCAATACATAGTTGGTAAACAGAAATTTTGAGTTTAAGTGGTAGTATTAGTAGCTTTTCATAGAAACTTGGAGTACATAAAGGATTCTAGCCATTTATTTTTTCATCTTATCTCCCCCATAAAATGAAAAAGTGAACATTTTTACATCAGAACTAAAAACTACTAATTTTCTTTGTTTTTAAAGATTTTCTTCATTGATTTGACAGAGAGATACAGTGAGAGAGGAACAGAAGTAGGGGGAGTGGGAGAGGAAGAAGCAGGCTTCCCAATGAGCAGGGAGCCCGACATGGGGCTCGATCCCAGGAGCCCAGGATCATGATCTGAGCCAAAGTCAGATGCCCAACAACTGAGCCACCCAGGCGCCCCAAACTGTTAATTTCCAATTTGACATAGTGGCCACTAAAAAAATAAATCACAGTTGTTACAGAAAAAAGGACAGAAGTGTTTATGTACTCCAATGAAATAAACAGCACATTTTTAAAATTCCCGTGTTTTTGTGCTTTGTTTATATAAAATATATAAAGCTAAGATACAGATTTCTATCTCTGCAATTTACTATGATTTTATAATCACTAATACGAGCAAAGTTAACTTGAAACACAATAAAACCCAAGCTTTTTTACTCTAAAGGACTTCAGCCCAAAATGGTTCTACGTTTGCATAGGGAAAATAACCCACAGCAAAATTTTCACGTAGGTATTTTAAAATATATTACAATTTAAAACCTATTACAAAGCTCTTGTCAAATTCTGAGGTACTCAATATTGGCAGATCCTAATAGGTAATAACATGTGTGGGAAAGTTACTTAAGTTCAAGAAGAACCGGGAAGTCTTTCATTATGTTGACAGATTCCAACAACATACATTTTATCGGCATATACTCTGCATAGGTTTCTGCGTGACCCATTTCTTCTTCATCTTCTTCCTCCGGTTCATCTTCCTCTTTCACAACAGGGACCTTCTGTAACACAGTGGGAGCATAATCAGAGACTGGAAGCCTAACCAACACAAAGAAAAACTCTTCTGTAGGTATACTAAACAGTCTTCAGTCTTGGAAACATGACACACGACTTCTATATTCCCTAAAATCTGGGTCACACTTTACATCTTCTGTGCTTCTCCAATGAGTACAGGTAATCCATAACCCAACTCTCATCCCTAACACACCACTGGGTCACCTCAGGGCTCCACCATCCTTCCAGCCACGACTATCTCAAACTTTCCTCTTCAATATTGACTACCACCCTCCATGATGTCCAGAACTCTTTTTTAACCTCAGTCTTCAGTCTTCATTTCAGTTCTAGGAACAGAAAGACCAAAAGATCTGGGGAGCAAAGGTGGATGAGCTAGCCCCAGAAGCTCATCCTACAACCTCAGTGCCAGAAACTGCTGAAGTTACACATCCCACCCTCATTTCAGGTGGGATGTGTAACTTCCACCTGGATTGCACCTTCAATCCAGCTGTCTTCTTTCCATCAGACACGGAAACCAAAACCCCAGAAAACTCTGGACTTAAAGGTTCTTTTGAAGGACAGAGAATCTACTTGACATCTGTGCCTCCAAGCAACAATCATATGTAAGATAGCCAAGCACTTACTCTCCAAACCCTAGAACACCGAAAAATGCAATGGGGAGCTCTTACTAATTAAACCAGGAAAACAGGAATGAAGCCAGACTGTCCCAGGCAACTTGAGTGAATGGTTACCAGTCACATGTTCCTTTCTTTCTTCACCGAATCTTGAAGGGTAAGATACAGAGGATTAGGGGAACAGAAAGACCCTGTACTTGCCTCCTTTCACTAGAAGTAAAACCATCAGCAAAGCTCTTAATTAATGTGCTTATTCAAGAAAAACTACAGAGAAAAAGCTGTGAAACCCAGTAAATGTAGAAAAGAAGAAGAAAAAGAAAGAGAAACCAGTCAAGACCTATAAGCAATGCCAAAGGCAACAAAGCCTTGAAAGGTAAGGGCAGGCATTTTTATTTCTTTCTCTTTGGTCTAGAGTATGATGGCACAAAGATGCTCAATAAAGTGGGAAGGAGAAGAGAGATGGTAGACAAACACCCAATCAACATCAACCCATGGAATCCTGAGAAAAAATCCAAAACAGTTCCAAATGCTCTTATAGCCAAAATGAAACTCAATTACAGAAACTGTAGACAAAGTGGGGCTGGCCAAAGAAACAGATGTAAATCCCCATTCTGCTGGTTTTTTGTGTGGCCTTAAGCAAATGACTTAAATTCTGACTCCTCCTGACCCCCACCTCCAGCCCTTTCCCCGCCTACCAAGTAAGAACGCATAGTAAAGGACTGGCCTTCCCTTTCTATCTTATCTTACTATACCTGAATTTAAAAAAAAAAAAAAAAAAGAAAAAATTACCAAGAGTGTAACTGGAAGATAGATGGGTGACACTGTCTGGTCACAAAATCAGGGACCAGAGAGGTAAATTTCTAAGCCAGTAAAATGGCAACTGAGGGCCACCAACCTTAGGATCAAGGAGAGAATCATGAGGGGGAGCAGGGAAAGGTTGTGGTACCTGGGGAAGGTCTGCCCAACACACAGAACACGTGTTCACTACTAAACTTGAGGCATGCTTTACGAGGTGGGGAATGTGAACCCAGGGTTGTCAGGTACTCCTAGTTTTCAGGAGAACCTGGAGTTCAGGATCTTTATGTGGTAGCAACAAACTGAAAATCTTTCAAAATGTTGTGGAGGCCAAACAGAACACATCTGTCAACTGGCTTTGGTGCACAGTCTAGCAGTCTGTAATCTCTGCTAGATGTTTCTTTTCTTTTAAGTGAGGTCTATTCCCAATGTGGGGCCAGAACTAAAGACTTCAAGATCAACAGTCACATGCTGCACTAACTGAGCCAGACAGATGCACCTGTTAGATGTTTCTTAACTGCAAGGACAACATAGAACTTTTGGCATATCGTGGGCAAACATGTACATGAGAATCTATGTACATTTCTTAAAAATGCAACTGTACTTTCTAAAAATCAACTTCTACGTAAGTTGCTGGTACACAACGATTAAGTAAACTGGGTCCTGCCAGCATTCATTTTCCTGGTCCCTGTTCAAAACCTCAGGCACAGAATGCTGTGCTGTCTTTCGAATTCCATATTCCATCCCTAAGTCCTATCAATTCTTCGGTATTGTTACATGCAGTCATCTCCTATTTTCCTTTTTTTCTTTCCCCTCACCTTTTCCCACCCTCTTTGCAATCCTCCAAGTTTAGTCTCTTAATTTCTCCCTTGGAGTACTTAACCAACCTTCCAACCTGCCTCTCTTCCCCACCTGACACCCTGAAACACTAAAAGGATCCTTTACTTCCAGGGGCCCCCAATGGTGCTACACCAAGTCTTTTTTTTTTTTTTTTTTAGATTTATTTATTCATTAGAGAGAGCAAGCAAGAGAGAGACAGAGCATGCGCATGCAGGTAAGCAGGAGTGGGGGGAGCAGAGGGTAAGAATCTCAAGCAGATTCCCCGCTGAGCACAGGGCCTGATCTCACAACCCTGAGACCATGACCTGAGCAGAAACCAAGAGTCAGACGCTTAAGCAACTGAGCCACCCAGGTACCCAAAGTCTTTCAAACTCCACTCAGGAACCTCCACAGTGCCAAAACCAACCATTCCAACTTTCTCCTGGCTTACTGCCACCTAAGTATATAGCCACCACCTCCCCTGTGCCTATCAATGCTTTAGCTCCCTTCCTAAAATGCCCTCTTACAGTCTCTCCAAATCCAACACCTAATCTCCATCATACCTGCTCCACAAAATGAAGTGTTCCCAGACCATCTGAATCCAGGGAGGTTTCCTCTTCCTCCAATTTCCTAATCCTAATTGTGAGTAACTCAATGTACTTTTTGCGATCCTTTATACTACTTAAACCATGTGTTTGTCCAACTGTGTGATTATGGAAGGGGGAGCCAAGTAGTACACCGCTTGTTCAAACCCACCACACACAGGCACTGTTACACACAGTACAGTTATGAAATAAATGTACAGAGTTAATTAATCCAAGGCATTTCCAAAATTTAAGGAAAAAAATTACTTATAACCAGAACATTATACAACCTGACAGCTCATAATTAGCTATATATTCAGGTTCAATCCCCAAATGGACATAGTTATCAAATACTTTGGTTAATTCCAAATTATCTTTGTCTCTGATCAGATGAGATTGTCAGTCCTGTGTGTAATACCAAACCCTATCAAATATGCAAGCTCTCATCACCTCGTTCAGTATGTCAGTTTGAGATTTCGTGCTTATTCCTTAGTTCATGTAGTTGAGTAGCCCCCCTTCACTCAAAAAGAAGTTTTTCTGAGGTTGTTTAAGACCACTTTTAGCCAAGCATACATCTATACCACACAATACAGAGGCACTTTTGAAACTCACCATGGTTGGAGAAAAACTCCTCATTTTCATGTCGTTTATCCATATTCTTGCTACTTCTTTATTAGAAGACTCTTTCTTTACTGCACCATTGCTTACATCAGCTGAGGGGAGAGTTACTATATTTTAGAACAAAATATCAATTTCTTTTCAGTAAAAGTTTTACTATAATTTTTTTAAATTCAGATTTTTAAAAAAATGATAAATCTAAAGAGTCAGTACAAGTTTACCCATTTCACGAGCCAAAGAATACCAACCTGCTTGTCACTAATCTAAACTAAGCGTTAAGAATTAAAACATTCAAAGCTCTGTGTTACCATGCAGCTAAGAATTAACCTTCGAAAACAAGTAACTTAAACAGCAATGTGTGTACTCAAAACTTGAGAACCAGTTATCAAAAGGACATATTAACCACAAGTATTTGATAGTTCATTTTAATACAAATATCAACAGGGGTACTTCACTTGGGTCATCAAAAACCAACCAACCAACCAGAATGGTGTTATCATCAGGACAGAATCAATCTCATCTGAGTTGGTGATACTTACTTTCGAGGCAAATTATTATTTCTTGGGTGAAAAAATATTGGGGAACTCTATTTCCCTCTTTCCCCAGAATAAAGATCCAAACAATTAATCTTTTCTTCTTCAATACCGGTGGTTTACAAACTCTTTTTATATTATTATTTTTTTACCAAACTCTTTTTAGATACAGTAAGAGAACTCCTCAACCTGAGTATCAGGTCAAGCCGAACTGCCTGACTAAGCAGTCTAGAGCTAGAGCCCCCGTAACCAGCCTGCATGAAGCACTCACTTCAGGTACTTGGGATTTCTGAGATCAGTGTGGAAATCACACCAGAAGGACTTATTAACATCTTATCTACTCAACCAAAAGATATGGAGTACATGGGAGACCTGTCACTTGGGACTCCAAAATTACTACAACTGAAGTTTTAACAAAATAAAGCTGGAACAGAGATAACAAATTTATGTATTTAATGTAACTGGGCGAGAGAGAGTGAAAAGTTGGCAGAGTACAGAACCCAGACCTCACGGAAGAGCTCAGCACCCAAACAGAGAGCCAGAGGGCTCAAGGCTCCAGAGGGCAACACGCATAGATAGAGGAGAGAGAAACATGCAAAACCTTGCTCTTTGGAGTTTCATACTTTTACTGTTCTCTTCCAGTAAAAAGATTACCCTGTGCTTCAATACAAAAGTATGCTTATCTTTGGCATTCACTTTCATGTTTCTTTTTCAGCCCTGGTCCAGTCTGATAGTTTCTCAGACTTCCACACAAGGACGGCCTTGATTTGCACTCTTTTGTCTTTTTAAAATTACTCCACTGGATGTGGGAGATGTTACTGTACTAAGCATTACTTGATCAGCTCCAAACCTATCCTGTTTTGTTTTGCTTTCTAAACTTCCCTGACAATAGCAGTCTTCTTTAAATTATGAGAACATGTGCTGATTTGAAGAGTGGAATGCTCAGGAAGCCACTCACATAAAAGCAGCTGGATTTCTCCTCAAATCCAGACTTTAATGACAGCTGTTTCCACTAACTGCTGATCATCCAAGACTCCCAGGAATCATTCCAGATGCTGCCCTGCACCCCAGCTAGATGGGGGCCATGCTCCTGATCTCCATGGTGGAGCAGAGTAAAAATCAGTCCTAAGACAGTTCAAATGACTTAATGGGCATGTAGTTGCCAGGTTGCAGTTAGTTCAGGACAATGACCTTAAGAATAAACTACAGCCATAAGGACACAGTGGTATGGACTCAAACAAAAGACTAAATTATCTGATATTTTTAATTGTATCTGTCACTGGACACGAAGTTAGTTCTACAACACCCTACCAAACACTTCTTGGCCATTGCTTTAGAATGCCCCAGCCCTATACTTTACAAACACAAGCACAATTTCCAAGCAGTCCATTCTGCCAAAAAATTATAAACTGGTCTATATCAGGTATTAAAATCTACCTCCTAATATTAGAAAAACAAGGCAGCTGTTTGGAAAAAGGAACGGTCTGTTTAATACCTATCAGCTCATTCCAAAACCCTAATAAAATGCTATTTATGTACTAGTATAAGGCCTCAGGAACCTTCATTCTAGCCCCTTAATCCAAACATACAACAATCCCAAAGAAATTTACTTAAGGGGGGGCAAAAAAAGGCACCCATTCCAATCCTGAAACTATAAAATAGTGGTCAGCTCAGAATATAACCAAGGTCAGTTATCACTTCCAACTGTGCCCACCATGGTACTGTTATGTAACAAGTACTCAAACACACTTCAACTGAATGTAGAATGGAAGGAAAGAATATCCCTCTTAAGAGTTCATGTTTTTCAGTTTCTAAAACTGTACTACTAAAATTTGATATGGTCAAGATTTTAAAGTATACCTAATAATTCTATTTTACCCTTAAAAATTACCTTACTAAATACGAAGCTTCCTCTGAACACTGCACTCAAAACTACAACCTCTTCCTGCCACACACCTCATTTTCTGCTTCTCTCCTCAGTGCTTATTCCTTTCAGACACACTATATAACTTCTTTCTTTTACATATCATCTCTTTCTCTCCACTAGAATGCAAGGTGCAGGACAAAAGAGATTCAACAGTTTTCTTCCCAGCCACAGCCTCAAAAGCCCAAAAGAGTTCTTAGCACATAGTAGGCACTCAATAAATATTTGAAAAAGTGAGCAGTAACACTCTAAAGAAAAACTAACAATAAAATCTGTATTCTCTCTATATAAGTAAACTCTTTAAAAAATGTTATCACACCACTGCTGAACCTTTCCCTTTAAAACCCCATCCTTAAAGGATTAGCTCGTGGTGATGGTTTATCAACTCTGTGAACGAATATACTAAAATCCACTCAACGATGAACTTTGAAAGGATGAATTTCATGGTATGTACAATGTATCTCAATAAAGCTATTTTTAAAAAAAGGATTATATGAGCACTCATTCTTAAAAAACAAAACATATAGTAAGGGGCACCTGGTGGCTCAGCTGGTTAAGTAACTTTGCCTCAGGTTCCTGGGATTGCGCTCTCCCTGCCAGGCTCTCTCTCAGGTAAATAGATAAAATCTTTAAAAAATAATAATAATATATTTTTTTAAGATTTTGTTTATTTATTTGACAGAGAGATCACAAGTAGACAGAGAGGCAGGCGGAGAGAGAGGAGGAAGAAGGCTCCCTGCTGAGCAGAGAGCCCGACGCGGCACTCGATCCCAGGACCCTAAGATCATGACCCGAGCCGAAGGCAGCGGCTTAACCCACTGAGCCACCCAGGTGCCCGATAATAATAATTTTTTAATAATGAAAATGTATGTATCTTGTTTTTTTAAAAAGATTTTTATTTATTTGAGAGAGAGTGCATGTGAGCAGGAGGAGGGGTAGAGCAGGCGGGAGAGGGACAAGCAGACGGCACTGAGCATGGAGGATAATGCAGGGCTCAATCCCGGGACCCTGAAATCATGACCTAAGCCAAAATCAAGAGTTGGATGCTCAACCAAATGAGCCACCAAGGCATTCCAAAATGTATTTTAAAAGAGAATTTATTAAATACACATCTACTTACAAGCAAAGAAGCCAATGACAGGTAAATAATAAAATTGTAAAAGTCACAGTGAAAGGAGAAAAGTATCAGTTTCAAGCTAGTTACCTCAAACATGGTCCAAGGCCCACCAGCCTGAGCACCTCCAAAAAGCTTGTTAGAAATGCAGAATCTTGGGCACTACCCCACACCTACCAAATCTGATTCTGTTTTTGAACAAGATCTCCAGGTGATTCACAGGCACTTCTCAAGTTTGAGAAGTACTGATTTAAAGGACTGAGAAAATGTTAACTAGTTATTCCCAATATATAAAACTGAGATCTCATAGTGTTAATTAATGTAGCCTCCTGGTAATTCCACACTTCATTTCAAGGTAAATGCTATGACTTCTAAATTTCTCCTTCCTTTGAATTGTATAAATCCTATAATTGTACAAAGTCATACAGATATGTCCTTCACACCCGGTTCTTTTAAGACCCAAGGAAACCCTTAAAAACACCCTGACACATCTTACCAAAAGGAGCCGGCTGACACGACTGAGAACAGACACACACTTACTAGCTGCGGTTGCCACTGGCTGCGCAATATTGGCCGGCGGCTTCAGTTTCATGAGCTCATTCAGACTATTATTTTTTAGCAGATCCTTCAGCTGAACCTGGTCCTTTGAGGGTGCAGAGGTCATGGCATTTCGTACTGCTGGTGCGGAGACTGAAGGGCGTGTGTTTGCAGTAGTCTGGATGAACTTTGTTAAGGTGATGGTCTGCCTATTCGTTGTTACAGGTGGTGTTTTAGTCATTACAATTGTAGATCCCAGGGTTGGAAGCTGATTTATTTGATTCAGCACAAATGTTGTAGTAGATGGAGGCTGCTGCTAGAAAAGAAAACCATAACACATCAGACCACTGAGGAAGTACCGAGCTCTCTAATGTGGCTTAGATTCACAAACATGGGAGGCCATTTAAACATCTAAAACAGACTTGAGTTCTCACTTAAACACTGGCACTGTATTTTTAATTAAATATGCCTAACTATACAATACCAAGTTAAAACACACCACTTTGAGGCGCGGGCGGGGGGGGAAGTATAGTAATAGTGTGACATTGTCTATAATTATCGGGGCCAGCAAGGATAAATAAGGACTCTCCTAAGCAAGCTGTGATGTGTAGTAATGCCATGTAATGCAAGGACTAGGAACAGAAAGAACCTCTAATCCCAGCACCGCCCCAACGAGGTTGATAACTTTGCAGTGAAAAGATGTTTCCTGCTTTGATATATATACAAAAGTAGGAGATGAATTGTTTAGAACTCTTGTGGGAGGTTTGTTAATCTCCTTACTAGTGGTCTTTGTATTTTATAGGGACCCTCTTCTGAGGTTTCACTATACACATTCTCTGAAAGTAAAAATAAGATTCTGGTATCGGTATAGTTTTGTGAAGATGTACTTGCAAAGATTCTTAGTTCCAGCCTGATATCAGAGATTTACAATCTCTGATAACTTCAAGCAAATCACTTTACCCCCGGAGGCCCAGGCTCTCTGGGGTTCATTTTCCATTGCTACCATTCCATGATTCTTGCCCAATGCTTTGTTTGCTATCATACAGACTAAACCAATGTTTAGAATTTAGAAGAGAAAACCACCGAAACAGGGTTTTAAACACCTAATTTGTACGAATGATCCAGCCAATCCATCGATATCACATACTGGTGATAATATGTTGGGTATTACCTTTGGGTAATGAATGGGTACTACCTCTGTACCTAAGACAAAGCTACATAGCATTTTATTTTTTTTTTAATTGGGGGTAAAGGCAGACATTAGGAGTTGGGGAAAAATGCAGGGAAAAAAGATCAAAGATTGGGAAAATGACGGTGTGATTACCATGGACTGAAGTGCAATCAAAGATTTTTTAAAATTTCAGTCTATTTCTACTTCCTTTCCTCCTCAAACTATTTGTTATTGTCCCGTGACTCCTATAACAAGAATCTTAAGACATTACCACTCATTACTTTTTTATTTTTTAAAGCAGGCACCTTTGGTGTACCTGGCTTGGTCAATTGTAGAGCATTCAATTCTTTTTTTTTTTTTTTAAAGATTTTATTTATTTGAGAGAGAGAGAGAAACAGTGAGAGAGGGAACACAAGCAGGTGCAGAGAGAGAGGCAGAAGCAGGCTTCCTGCTGAGAAGGGAGCTTGATGCAGGGCTCGATCCCAGGACCCTGAGATCATGACCTGAATTGAAGGCAGATATGCTTAGCAACTGAGCCACTAGGCACCCCGAGCATTCAGTTCTTAATCCAGGGGTCATGAGTTTGAGCCCCATGCTGGGCATGAAGCCTACTTTAAATAAATAAGCACAGGAGGCAATTTTTTTTAATAATAAAGATTTATTAATTTAAATAATCTCAACACTCAACATGGGGCTCAAACTCACAAACACAAAAATCAGGACTGCCACCTAGGCATCCCACCACTTATCACTTTTAAATAAAACTCTCAACAGTAATTTATCATAAGTTATCAATTTTTTAACCAGGCTGTCCAATAATTTTATATGCTAAGCTTAAGTTAATAGCTGCTATGTTTAAGGTAAAATCAGAGAAACTCTATATTTAAAGCACAATTACCATTACGTAAAAATCCCATGTACCAATGGACAAAACCTGAAATCAACAAGGAAAAATGAAATGTGTAGTGAGATAATGTGTAGCTCATCTCTACTTCATGAATTTTGTATTATTTACAGTGAGTAAATTAAAAAAACTTTGCTTTGTCCTAATTATCTTTTGATCAATGTAACTATGAGAAGAATGAAAGAAACATTTTATCAAATAGGAGCTGAGAATAGCATATTGGAAAGTAGCAAAAAACAGAACTGGTAAGGTGAGACTACTTCATATTACAAATTGTTTTCTTACTATAATTCAAAACCAGTTCAGCAGCCACAGCAAACGTAAATCGTTCTTACCCGGACATTTAACAGCGCCGGAGCAGGTAGCGTCTCTGGTTCTGGTTTAACAGGAACCGATGCTTCAGTCTCCAAACCTAGTTCTAATGCACTAAGTGGCACGGACTAGAGAGAAAACAACATCAGAGAAAAAAATAAAAAATGACGGCAATGAATTCTGTTTCAAGAACAAAAGATGTATTTATTAAAATTTTAAAAATGACAAGTTTTACGCTCAAACAGATTGTAAATCTCTGATATCAGGTTGGAACAAGAATCTTTGCAAGTACATCTTCACAAAACTATACTGATACCAAAATCTTATTTTTACTTTCAGAGAATGTGTATAGTGAAACCTCAGAAGAGGGTCCCTATAAAATACAAAGACAACTAGTAAGGAGATTAACAAACCTCCCACAAGAGCTCTAAACAATTCATCTCTTAACTTTTGTGTATATATCAAAGCAGGAAATGTCTTTTCACTGCAAATATTTTCCATCTCATGAGAGAAAACTAATATAAAAATAACATACACATGCTTATTTAAAATTGTCTTAATAATGTTTACTCTGTAAATAGAAATTAAAATTAAGAAAACTCTACTTTTTACAGAGACTTTGGAAAAAACTTACCTGCTGAACTGTAGGAGTAGGTGTTGGAGTTGCAAGCCCTGCATCTCCCCCATCAATATCAAAGAGGTCATTTGGACTAATTCCACTCTCACTCAAAGCAGCAAGCAGTAAATCTTGCCCTGGCTCCACCATCTTTAGAACAAAATATGTAATATTAACATAAAAAACTTAATATGCCAATTAACTCTCTTCTAAATACAAACCAACATCTTCTACCAGACCCATCCATTTGATATTTATGAAGAACCTGCTACATATCGGGCAAGAAGTCAGATGAAAGAGAAAAAGTCTCTGATTCCAAGAAATTCGCAATAAAGATGAAAAGGACAGAGAAATATGTAAATCACAGCAAGAGTGTATGTGTACAAAATGTTGTGGGAACAGAGAAGGAATGCTGAACTTTGCCTGGGGAGAGAGGTCACAAAGACGACTGTGGAACGGAGTCTCAAGGAAGGAAATGCCAGGTGGATGGGGATGTTCTGGATAGCGCACACACACTTCTGCAGATATGAAAGACACTGGCGCTCTTTAAGAACAATAGTTAGTGTGATTCATCGTTAGTATGGAAGTTCAGGCAGGTGATGACAAGAGAAGAGGAAGATCTCACCCACAACCTTGTACACCATGGCAGAGAGCACACTTAATCCCATGGGTAGCGGGGGTCAGAAAAAGTTTTCAGATTGAGAACTACAAGACATACATCTGTGACCTAGAAAGATTACGCTGAGGAAGTATGGGGGCACACTGAGAATGGGTAGAGTAAGACCAGAAGCAGGAAGACATTTTAGGTAACTGCTACAGCAAACCGAGAGAGATGATGTGGGGTCCCTGGGTGGCTCAGTTGGCTAACCTTTGGCTCAGGTCATGATCCCAGGGTCCTGGAAAAGAGCCCTAAAACAGGATCCCTGCTCAGCAGGGAGCCTGCTTCTCCTTCTCCCCGCCGGTCTCCCCCTGCTCATGCATGTTATCTAATAAAAACTCAAAAAGCCAAAAAACAAAAAACAAAAAAGAGATGATGTGCTGTAATGACAGAGTGTAGAAAAAAGGGGGGATGAATTTCAAGATGTTTAGGAAGGACAACCCATAACACTAAGTTTATATAAAAGTTCAAAATGGAAGAGAATATGAAATACACAAAAAGCATGAGTTGATGGATGATTATAGAGTTAAGCCAAGAGAAAGCGAAAAAATAAACACTGAGCCTGGGAGACCCCAAAATGAGTTTTATAGTTTGTATTTTTTTTTAAAGATTTTTATTTATTTATTTGACAGAGATCACAAGTAGGCAGAGAGGCAGGCAGAGAGAGAGGAAGGAAAGGAGGCCCCCCCGCTGAACAGAGAGCCCCATGTGGGGCTCAATCCCAGGACCCTGGGATCACGACCCGAGCCGAAGGCAGAGGCTTTAACCCACTGAGCCACCCAGGTGCCCCCTATAGTTTGTATTTTTTTTTTAAAGATTTTATTTATTTTTCAGAGAGAGATAAAGAGAGACAGGGGCAGGCAAAGGAATTAGCAGGCTCCCTGCCAAGCAAGGAGCCCAATGTGGGATTTGATCCCAGGACCCCGGAATCATGACCTGAGCTAAAGGCAGACGCCTAACCAACTGAGCCATCCAGGCGTCCCGAGTTTTAGAGAGTTTAGCGAGAGAAAATACCTATTTAGAAGCAAGCAAATATATTTTAAAGATTTTACTGATTTATGGGGGCTGACAGGAGAGGCAGAGGGAAAGAATCTCAAGCAGACTATGTGCTGAGTGTGGAGCCCAAAGCGGGGCTCAATTCCACAACCCCAAGATCATGACCTGAGCTGAAACCAACCGTCAGACACTCAACCAACTGAGCCACCCAGGCACCCCACAAATACATTTTAGATTTGGGTTTTCTTGGTATAATATATCAAAGTAATCTACTTTGGGGGAAAAAAGCTTAACAGAACTTTCTCAATTTTTAATGTTTGTCATTATCTGAAATAACCAATTTATAAACGTAATCAAGAAAAAAATAACCAATTTATATAAACATGGAAAGCTACTGTACTTGTTTTTCCTAAAAGACTAATTTCATGTTACATAAATAATACATTAATCTTTAGCTAGTTCATTTGTTCTCAGGCTGTGTTAAAGAATTAAATGTCAGTGTTTTCATTATGTCCTACAAAAAGAAAGGCATTAGCCTCTGTGACCATGACTTCCAACATATATAAGAACTACTATTTCAGGGACGCCTGGGTGGCTCAGTTGGTTGGACGACTGCCTTCGGCTCAGGTCATGATCCTGGAGTCCTGGGATCAACTCCTGCATCGGGCTCCCGGCTCTGCAGGGAGTCTGCTTCTCTCTCTGACCTTCTCCTTGCTCATGTTCTCTCTCACTGTCTCTCTCTCAAATAAATAAATAAAATCTTAAAAAAAAAAAAAAAAAGAACTACTATTTCAAATGAAAGTAAAATATTTAACAGAGAAATCCTCTACTAAGTAGGTCTATGTCACATAAACCTATACATCACTTAGAAAGAAGTTCTAGAAGAAACTTGAATGAGTTTACAGCAGACACTACAGATATCCAGAAATGAAACTCAGGGCAGACCTACTGTTTGAAGGGAGTCTTAACCAGAGAGCCCCAAGGAAGAAGAAATAGCTCAAAGATTTCCCCAAAATTTTTCAGAGAAAGGAAATATCTATGGAAAAATGCATTTTGTGTAGGAAAGGAAAAGGTAAGGAAATTGACAGTGACTAAGTATCTTTTACAAGCTTGACAGTGTTAGGACAGTGTTGGACCACAACAATCCCCCCAAAAAATAGACATTATGATGTTTTAGAGATGAAACCGAGGCTCAGGGCGCCTGGGTGGCTCAGTGGGTTAAAGCCTCTGCCTTCAGCTCAGGTCATGATCCCAGGGTCCTGGGATCGAGACCCACATTGGGCTCTCTGCTCAGCAGGGAGCCTGCTTCCTCCTCTCTCTCTGCCTGCCTCTCTGCCTACTTGTGATCTCTGTCAAATAAATAAATAAAATCTTAAAAAAAAAAGAAAAATAAAGTAAAACGGTATTTGTCATCAAATATATAGTCAGTGAAAAAAAGAAACCGAGGCTCAGCTTAAAGTACCTATAACTACCCAGCACTAGATTGTTTAAATTTCCAAAGCCCATGCATTCTCTTTCCGAAGAACAGATCTAGAAGTCAATGTTGCAAACCTCAGTTTCAGTACTTAAGTTTGGAATAAATGCCCGTCTGAGGTTAAAATAGGAACGGAGATAGATTATTGGATAGCAAGATAGAAAGAGCATGAAGGGACTGAACAGAGGAGACAAACAGCAGAAATGTCCCAATACAGATTTAAAATAAAGTTAATCATTTTTCTAATACAGACACAGCTGACCATACTTCACAAATCATCCTAGTACATAGTACCAACATGTACCAAGAAACCTAAATCAATGCTTTAAAAACATTTCAACCAAGGCCTCTGGGTGGCTCAGTCAGTGGAGTGTCAGACTCTTGATTTAGGCTCAGGTCACTATCTCAGGGTTATCAGACTGAGCCCTGGGTCAGGCTCCCCGCTCAGTGGGGAGTCTGCTTGAGATTCTCTCTCCCTCTGCCCTCCCCTGCCCCCACCCGCCAACATGTGTGCACTCTCACTCTCCCTAAAAAATAAATCTTAAAAACAAAAACAAAAACCAACAAAACATTTCAACCCACAAAATACCTCATTAAGACCAATGACCTGTGGGAATAGGTGGTGGTCTTGGCCTGCTTGCTATGACCAATCCTGAGCTAGATTAACAGAATTCCAGAGACTATCAAAATGTCATATTTTGGGGCGCCTGGGTGGCTCAGTGGGTTAAAGCCTCTGCCTTCGGCTCAGGTCATGATCCCAGAGTCCTGGGATCGAGCCCCACATCGGGCTCTCTGCTCCACAGGGAGCCTGCTTCCTCCCCTCTCTCTCTGCCTGCCTCTTTGCCTACTTGTGATCTCTGTCAAATAAATAAAATCTTAAAAATAAATAAATAAATAAACATTGTCTAAAAGACTTTAAAATCTTTTTTTAGTAAATATTTAAAATATTGATTTATTTATATTCAAAACAAAAATACATTGTTTTAAACCAATGACTCCTAAACGACAGACCAAAGAACGCTTGGAAGCCAAAGGACCCATTAATTCATTAGATGCACACTAAGCCCTGACTAATTATACTAAAGAAGTACAGAAACATCATTAATGAAAGCAACAAAAATCAGTGAAAAACATTACTAAATTCATGAGAGTTTTCTGAAATATATTTTCTGAACAATGGGCAGTGGAAAATACCAGGGAAGGGAAAAATATGGGGGGAAACTTGGTATTTTTACAGGAAATAACAGCACAGTTTATAACACTATCACTGACCTATTGAAAACTCACTCACAGGAATCACAATTTGAGACCTCTGAGTATTGACTTAGTAATGACAATGTCTTTTACAAGCTTTTTCTTAAAAGTATTTTATTTATGGGGCACCTCAGTGGCTCAGCAGGTTAAGCCTCTGCCTTCGGCTCAGGTCATGATCTCAGGGTCCTGAGATCGAGCCCCGCATCAGGCTCTCTGCTCAGCAGGGAGCCTGCTTCCTCCTCTCTCTCTGCCTGCCTACCTGTGATCTCTCTCCTTCTGTCAAATAAATAAATAAATAATAAATACAAATAAATAAAATAATAAGTAATAAAAATTAAAATAAAAACAAAAATATGTTATTTATTTCAGAGAGAGCACTAGTGAGTGGCAGAGGGAGGGATAAACAGACTCCTCGCTGAGCAGGGAGCATGAAGCAGGACTCAATCCCAGGACCCTGTGATCATGACCTGAGCCAAAGGCAGACATGTAAGTGACTGAGATATCCAGCCACCCTTTTGCCAGCAATTAATGAAAAATACCTTCGATTTATATACATAATGTACACAAAATCTAGGGATCCCTTCTTAGCCAATTGGGTACAAATTCTCTACTTGGAACTTTTTTGCAGTGAGAAAGAGGGCAAGGGATATAGAGGAATATCTCTCTCTAACTCCAATAGGCAAAACCCTTAATGTTAAAAAAAAAAACCCAAAAACCTTAATATCTAATCATTCTCCTATTCTGAAACTATTACAGACACAGAATTTCAATGTTCAGGTTGAGAACCCTTAAAAGGTTATATTATTCAATCTTCTCCTCCTCACCTTACAAGTAAGATTAATTCTTGAAAGGGAAAACATTTTCATTTTGAAACCACTAAATACAATATAAATGCAAACAACACCTTTAGGGGTAAGAGAACTGTGTTACAGTGTCTACAAAGGATTTCATGGACCTTAGGTGACATTTTTAACATGTAGCAATCCAACAAACCCAAAAGTTACCAACCCCAGAGTGACTCTATCTCAAAAAACGGAGGACAAAAAGGTTCCATTTCTATCATAAATACTTAGGAAAATACCATCTATTTCAAAATAGTACACCTATGAAAGCATCGAAGATAAATAATAAACAAGGACACGGAGTCGAGAGAAACTGAGAGAATCCTTGGCAGGAAGAGAATCCTGAGAAACAATAGCCAATCAGAAGAATGAAAGGATATAGTTCCCACTGAGAGTACCAACACTGAAACCTATCAACAAGGACAAGGTTCCTCTTGTTGAGACCTAAAGCAGACCTTTACATCTCTGGGGAGATACAAGGTATCTATCTGCAGCAGTGGTGGCACACCACAGAGGCTGAGACTATGGAGTCAAACAGAATATCTGGGTTAAATACTGGCTACCTCAGACACCAGTAGTAAAATATAGTTAAGTAATAACTTGTGGGACTCAGTTTCCTCATTTTCAAATGGGAATAAAAATAGAATCTATCTTATAGGATTGCTGTTGAATAAATGTTACCCTACTAGCTATTAACTATTACTTTGATATTAGCATCATGTCAAAAAATATTTTCTCCCACATCACTGATACAACAGTATTTCCAAGAATACAAACTTTGTTGGCAATCCACTCAATAATTAACTTCCAAATGAGTTCTATAAATATGAGTTCCTTTTCTCTGTGTCACATGTTCAATTTGTCCAGTTAATCAACTGGTGTGTCTGGAGAAAACTGGCAGACCTCTGTATATGTGCAAAGATATCCCTTAGTAAGTTATCTTTGCCTAATAGCAAACAGGACTTTTCCTCTTTATTTAACAACACTAAATATGTCTGACTTCTAACTCAGCTGCAGGTTTGCTTTTATGCAGTCCAGAGGTGATGACTGACACGTAGTTTAAGGAGTTGAAGGATAATGATCCTCTCAAAATTCAGCTGATACAGTTCATGAACAAGGTATTTATATTGTTCCTACTGAGTTCTGGTTCTTTAAGAACATCAGGAGGAATAGAAGATAGTATGAAGAAATTCATTAACAAGGATTTTCATTACCTACAAGGGTAAAATCTGTAGTTTTTAAACAGTTATTTTTCAAGGGAACACTTGCTCAGTAAAGTGTGCCTCTCCCCACTCTCACTGCAAAACTTCTACAAAGAATGGATTCACAAAGTAATGTGCAGATGACAAGGTTTCAAACATGCTTTACAAAAAAAGGACATGAAAGAATGGGGGGGTGTGTATGAAAAAACTTTCTTGCTTACCACCATCAAACTCAGATCTCTAGTCCTTTTGAGATTTACTATAGGGTTGGATTTTTTTCTCTTTTAAGCCTCAAGATAACCCATGAGTAAATGCTACATGTTATCCCTTGTCATAGATGAAAAACTGAGGCTTAGAGAAATGAACTGTAACAAGGTAACAACAAAGCAAGTATGGAGCAGAATTAGAAACAGGAGTTCCCACCTCCTATCCCTCCAAGATTCTGTATTCTTAAGCCTATACCATGTTCTTCAAACTGGTGGTCACACCACAATGAGCTGTCAAGTGAATTCAGTGTATCATGACCGGAATTATTAAATATTTCAATACAGAACAGAAAACACCAAGCATGTAGAGAGGATAAACATTATTTCATGACATGAGTTTTTTAGTTCTATGCGTGGATGTGTAAAACATGTCTTACCATGGGATGCAGTAAAAAGGTTTTAAAATCATTGCTCTATGCTAAATACTGCCTCCCAATAATTAAATAATTTGATGGGCTTTGTACTGTATCTTATTCATAAAAGCAGAGTTCCTGCTCTTCAAGAACCGATCCTTTCCACCTAGAGAAAATTTCAGTGGTATCCCAAGATTGTCCTTAATATTTACTAAGTTCAATGAACCACACTAAAGTAGACCTGTCAGCATAAACAAAGACAACTGTAAAAAACTTTTAAGATTACATCATTTTATTAGCTATATAATGTGAAAACAATTCCTCTCATCAGAAAGTTTTTTTTAAAGATTTTTTAAATTATTTCTTTTTGAAGATTTTATTTATTTGGCAGAAAGAGAGAGAGTGCACAAGCACACAAGCAGGGAGAGAGGCAGGCAGAACGAGAGGGAGAAGCAGGCCCCCACTGAGCAGGGAGTCCGATGTGGGGCTTGATCCCAGGGGCCTGGGACCATGACCTGAGTCAAAGGCAGATGCTTAACGGACTGAGCCCCTAAAGATCTTTTATTTATTTGAGAGGGAGGGAGAAAGAGAGAGCTCAACAGAAGAGGGAAGAAGAAGCAGACTCACCGCTGAGCAAGGAGCCCAAAGTGGGGCTTCATCCCGTCCTGGGATCATGACCTGAGCCGCAGGTAGACGCTTAACAGACTGAGTCACCCAGGCACCCCCAGAAAGTATCTTTACATCAATTTTAGGCAGGCAAAGCCTGGGAACTGAAAGACTCATGAAGTCAGGTTACTTGGTAAGACCAGATCTCAGACCTGAGTGTTCATCACCTTCATAGGAGGAAGTCTCAAATCAAAGCTCAATTTAGAAACTAAGAAAGACCAAAATATATCTATAGCTTTAACCTTTAAAATGAATCATTTTTAAAAACATTTAAGGAATCTTTATACTTTATACATTTATATTTGCATTATATTAAGCAGTACATAATTTCAGCAAAGCCCTTCAGTTGCCTGACACTTAAGAGCATCCAATGAAGGAAGGAAGGAAGGAAGGAAGGAATGGACTGTAAGTCACCAACTAAGCCTTCCTTTTTAAAACTTACCCAGCAGCTAAAGTAAAATTTACTTAAAATCCTATACACAATTGTGTGGAATTAAGTTAGACTGGGGATAAAAATGCAGAAGCCAAAAGAAAAAAATAAAGATTTTTTTCTGGTAAGATAAATTTTGGAAACAACTTTTTTAAACATGAAAATAAAATGTTCTCTTGCTTGCAAAATTACTGTCCCACGCAAGGCACCAATAGCAAATTCTGCATTTTATCCTAGAAATTCTATACAAACTATCTTTCGGGCAATGATAATGGCTTTCCCAACAGCTTAAGAAAAATCACTTCTGACTGCAGTAAATATACCGAGGCAAATATGGAATCCTTCTGCACTGCTAACTGATTTGTGTCTACAAGTGTTAAGTTTATTTCCTCTGGGGCAACTCGGGGTTTGACAGCTTTCTGGACCGCCCCGGCCGACTCAGTAGAAGCCCTACTCCGTCTCTAAACGTGGTTGTCTAGAGAAAATAAAACATTTAACTCAACATAAACGGCTAATAATCAACTTTCAAGGGTCAAAGGGGACCTAGTTTTTAACCTTCCCTCAGCAACACGTGTTTAGTACAAACTTCCGGGTAAGGTTACAATTGGCTGCGCAATTCAATGAATAAAAACGTTGCTTTATTCGACTCTCATTTACTTGCCTGTTCCTTCCCCACGTTTCTCAACCAGCAACTCCCCAAAACAAAAGCTTCCTAGAGTATACGGAGCCCGCACATAAAAAGGGCTTCTCTGTGCGAGATCAAGTTAGTGGTCCGCAAACATTAACCAAACAGCAACACAAAGCCGGGGTGGAAAGGGGGAGGAGTTGGATGCCAGGGTCAGGAAAGAAACAATCACAAGGGTTCAGGAACGTCCAAATCTCCTCAGCGGTTAAACCGATCTCAAACCACTTCTGGGAAACCACCAGCATACACTGGTTTGGGGAACTTTAGATGCTCCTTACACCAAACACTCTTACAGCAAGCAAATCCCCAACCGCCTTTCTCTGCACAGATGCTTAGGGTCTAGGAGGCGAGCGAGCTCGAGACAAAATTAACCTAATCACCCGGGGAGGCTTGAAGGTGGCCCCCACGTGTCCCACGTACTGCCTCGACGCCCTGAGAGCGAGGTAATCAGAAAACTGCAGGTGTGGGGTTCCGATTTAGGGCGCCCCTATCTCCTCCCGCACTCGCCCCAAACCAGGAGCAACCCTCAGACAGGAGGACTTCTGAAGGATTGCGGAGCTCACTTTCCTGCGGGTCCGGGACCTCGCATCCCTGAGTGGAGCAAGGAAAGCAAGGAAGGCGACCCAAGTGGAGCCGGAGCCGGTGCCCGCAGATCCTACCTTCGCGACCAAACTGGGTGCCTCTGGCCCGGGACAGCGGGGGCCCCTGAGGCCCGAAAGCCCCCACGCGCAGCGAGCGCAGGGCCCGGCGCTGACGGGCGGAGGAAGCGAGCGCGGCGGGGCCGGCGCCGGGACCTTGCCCCCAAGAGCCCTGGGGCGCGCAGCTGAGGGGGCGGCGATGGGCGAGGGAGGCCCCAAGCCGGGGTGAGGTGGCTGCCCCCCCTCAGCCCGGCCCCACACGGCCCCCTGAGGAGGGTGGGAGTGGGAGGCTGGCTGTCCGGGAGGAGTGTAGAAGCAGAAGAGCGGTAAGAGAAGGACTTACTTTCCCCGCGGGATCCGACGCCGGAACAGCTCCTACCGGGTGGCGAGAGCTTGAAGAACTAGAGGCGACTGGAGCGGAGGCGGCGGTGGCGGCGGCAGCAGCGGCGTCCGGCTCTGCCTACCTCCCCGCCGCCATCTTGACGCCCCTCCCCCCAGCCCCCCCGCCCCGCCGGAGGGGAGGGGGTGGGGCGACGGATGAGGCGCCGCGCGCACGCAGCGCGCGCCGCACGCCCCACGTGACTTCCTTCCCCCCCCCCCCCCACCCCGCTCCCCAGCGCCCCCCTCCGCCCCGCCTCCCTCCTAGGTGAAGAAAGATGATTTCCCCCCCCATCTTGACCGCCCCCTGCCTTCGCTGCCAAGCACGGACTCCGCCTGCTCCAGCCGACCCGGTACCAGTGGTTGGATCCAAGAGAATTCCGGAACCCAAACGGTCTATTACCGCGGCTCTGGGGTGGGCGAGGGGTGAGGGGGCCGGGTTTCCGAGAAGGGGGAGGGGGGGAAGGCGAAGGCCTCCTAGAAGAGTCACGTGTCTACTGCTTCCGCCGGGGCTCGAAAGACCTCGCGAGAATTCCGTTCCCCCTCCCTTTATGCCCCGCGGGCTGTCGGGAGGAAGGTCTGCTCTCTGAGTTGCCACGAGGAGGTCAGCCGGTGGTTCGGGCGCATGCGTCCTATACCTGCTTTCAAAGTCGGGCTAGGAGGGGCCCAAAGCTATTTCGAAAACCTTTTTGGTGTGTGTCTTCGGCCCAGGAAGTTACCTAGTGGCGTCTGTGTTGCTTTAGAAAGCTCTTCATTACATAGTCCTAGAAAAAAAATATTCGCGTATTCATTGCTTGTTAGGCTTGCTCAAAGCACTTTATTGGATATAAAACCGCAGTTTAACTCGGAGCCCCTCTCCTGGGCCACTGCCATTATCATACTCTAAGGGGTGTGACCAGAGTCAGCCCCACTGCTTTTTTTCTGAACAAACTATTGCTCTCAATTAATGATGACTGCAGAGTAGGTCTGTCGCTACCATCTTTGGCTTCCCTAATTTCTCCACCTCCTCCTCCTTTTTTCCTCTTCTTCTTCTTCTTAAGACCTAACAGAATAAACAAATTAACTTCTGGGTAACCCTTTTGTAAAGTCATTCTGAATGGTGTTTGACTCCGTTGCTTAGGTAATAGGCACGCCTGGGTGATTCTTGCCCCCTACTGGTGGCGCGTCCCTCTGGCCTTGAGCTGAATGAAACACTTGGAGTTTGAAGGTGTGAGCTCTTCAAGAGAACCGTAGAGGGAAAAGGGGGAGGAAAAAAAAAAAGTAGTCGTGTTAAGAAGATTATGAACCTTCCAACTCGGCGTCTGTATACATAAGTATGTATTACGTATATATGTACACATAAATGAACATTTTAAGTTGCCAACTAATCACTTTACTTCCATTATCTCATTTCATCCTTAAACCCCAAAAAAAACCTGGTAAAAGAAAAAATGATAAAATTAGTTCCATAAGAACAATGCCTTCATCTGTCTTGCTCACTGCTAGCCACTAGACCACTTTCTGGTCTATTGTCAGCAAACAAGCTATTAAAAATCTGTCCATTATGGGGTGCCTGGGTAGCTCAGTGGGTTAAAGCCTCTGCCTTCAGCTCAGGTCATGATCCTGGGGTCCTGGGATCGAGTCCTGATTCAGGCTCTCTGCTCAGCGGGGAGCCTGCTTCCTCCTCTCTCCCCGCCTGCCTCTCTGCCTAGGTGTGATCTCTGTCTGTCAAATAAATAAATAAATAAATAAATAAATCTTTAAAAAAAAAAAATCTGTCCATTATGGGATGAGAAGGAACTAAGGAAGGATGCAGAAGGAAAAAAAACCTTTTTTTAAAACATTGTAGTTCATGCATTAGTGTCTTCCAAGATTGGTTGGTACAGTTCAGTTTCGAAGGGACTCAAACTCTCTCTGCATGCTAGGACTACGTAGGTACCAGATTCGAACAGTGTAGGTCTGACCTAAAAACTCCCACCCTTAGAGCTACTTTCCCAGCATCCAGGCTAGATCCTTGCTTCCATCTCTGCATAATCTCCTTATTTGGGACCCAAGGAAAAGGTGGTGTTTCGGGAGATACATGCAGTATAACTGTGGATATGCAAGCTAATGTCATGCACAATGTTATTCCTTGCAGGATCATTTGTAGAATCAAAAGATGGGAAACAACCTAAATGTCTTTGAAGAAAGGACTGGTTAACTAAGCTATGGTACTTTGCTACAGTGAAACAGATGTTCAAGAGAATGAAGCGCTTCTGTCTATGAGAACGTAGTAATATATTTTGCGTGTGTACACACATAGATTGTGTGTACACATATCTCAGGCAACAGGAGTAGCAGTTGCTATCAGGTGATGGGAATCAAACTACAGGGGATCAGAAGCAGGAGGAAGACTTATTGGGTACACCCAGACCAGAGATGCTATTGGAAGCATAAGATTCCAATAAAATAAATAAATAAATAAAAATTCCCAGTTAAACATCGAATTGGCTGTTACATACTCTTCGCACTCCATTCAACAAGTATTTATAGAGCCTTTACTATGTACCAGGTACTATGTTAGAGATGAGGGGCACAAGTTTAAGAAAATCAAATGAAGGGAGAGACAGGAACTGTCCTTGCCCGTAATGTCCTTCCAGTCTAGTGGGCCTCAATCCAAAAATTACACAAACTGTAAACTTGTAGGGGCGCCTGGGTGGCTCAGTCTGTTAAGCGTCTACCTTCAGCTCAGATCATGATCTCGATCCTGGCATTGAGCCCCACATAGGGCTCCCTGCTCCTCAGGGGGCCTGCTTCTCCCTCTCCCTCTGCCCTTCCCCCTGCTCATGTTCTCTGTCTCAGATAAGTAAAATCTTTAAAAAAATGTAAGCTTGTAACTGTGACATTGCTGCAAAGAAGCTAACAGCCTATTACAGAGGAATTTGACCTCATTAGGGAATTCAAAAAAGGTTTCTTTGAGGAAGTGATAACTGGGCAGAGATTTGAAAAGTAGGTATTATGTAGGCAAAGAGAAGAGGGAACTGCATTTCAAGAAGAAGAAATAGCCTATGCAAATGTCCTGAAACAGGTGGGAGCCAAGCAAGTGGGGACAGTAACTCGGCAAAGGCAATGGCTGTTAAGACATTGTCTCTTGAGGCGCTTGGGTGGCTCAGTTGGTGAAGCGTCTGCCTTAGGCTCAGGTCATGATCCCGGAGTCCCGCATCGGGTTCCCACCTCCTCGGGGAGTCCGCTTCTCCCTCTAACCTCCTCCTCTCCTCTCTCATGTGCTCTCTCGCTCTCTCTCAAATAAAGAAATAAATCTTAAAAAAAAAAAAAAAGACATTGTCTCTTGGCTCCAAACCCAAGCTTCCACACTCTGCAAAACTACATTTCTGCTTTGCCGGCTGTTTCAGCATTTGCTTCTGGAATAAGGAGTGCTGGAGGGAGATGACAAGGCTGGAGGATGAAAAAGTTTGTCGTGAAGGTCATCCCAGCAACGAGTCTTCACCCTGGTAGCAGTTCTACTCGCTTCTCCTGCAAAGCTAGCCTAATCAAACCCTCCACTCAGACAGGAGGACCAGGAGGAACCTCCTCAGGGTCATCCTGTAAGGTCAGAGACACGAGCACCAGCTGAGCATAGCCCCCGGCTTGGAGTTGAGGTTTCAGCAACATGGGGCCCATCTCTTACGTTTCTTAGAGACACCAACCCCTTTCCTTTGTCCCCTTGGGCTGCGTGGTGAGAGAAGTTCCTGCACTTGCTACCTCTGTGGTGCTTTGAAGTTCTCTTTTCACCCTCTCAAGTTACCTAGTTAATCGTTTTGGACCTACTTTACAATTTTTTCAAATGTTTTATTTATTTATTTGGAGGGGGGTGGCAGAAGGAGAGAGAGAGAGAGCATTTCTTTTTTTTTTTTAAGATTTTATTTATTTATTTGACAGATCACAAGTAGGCAGAGAGGCAGGCAGAGAAAGAGGAAGGAAAGCAGGTTCCCTGCTGAGCAGAGAGCCCGGTGTGGGTCTCGATCCTAGAACCTTGGGATCATGACCTGAGCTGGAAGCAGAGGCTTTAACCCACTGAGCCACCCAGGCGCCCGAGAGAGAGCATTTCAATCAGGCTCCCCACTGAGCACAGAGCCCAATGTGGGGCTCCATCTCATGACCCTGAGATCACGACCGAAGCCAAAATCAAAAGTTGGATGCTTGAGCCACCCAGGCGCCCCCTTACATTAATTTATCTGTGCTCAAAACCGGGTGTAGTTTCTGCCTCCTGTGTGAACTTTGATTGACATAGCAAGTAACAAGGAATTATTAGTAGGATTATAAAAATAGATGATGGCCATTCTCAAAGAGCCTTTTGTAACTGAGTTTGGACTTTATTCTGTAGGCTCCAGGGAACTCAGAAGCCTGCTATGCACAGAGCTATTGTGGTTGGATGTGCATTCTAGAAGAATCACTCTGGAAGCAGTGTAACAGATGGATCTAAGAACTGGACCGCAGGTATGAGGAAAAGACAGATTAAAAGAAGATAAGAACAGAAACCGAAATGGAGCAAAATTGTTGAGAAAAGAAGAGGGCCAGGTTCAAGAAATATTTAGGAGGAAAAGCCAGCAACGTGTAGTGGCTGGTTGGATGGGGGTTGTGGGGAGCAGGAGTCTTGAATGAAGCCTCAGTTTCTCCCTTGGGTACCTAGGTAGGTAATAGTGCTATACCTGAAACTGTGACTTTAGGAAGGCAAACAGATGTGAAGAGGAAGACAATGAGTTTAGGTAATGTGGAAAGTTTTGTTTATCTATTGATATGTGATGAACAACCCCCAAACCTGATAACTTTTAACACAACAACCATTTTGTTATTTCTCATGATTCTGTAAGCTGGGCTGGGCTCAGCTGGACAGTTCTGCTGGTCTTGCTAGGAGTCACTTGTGTGACTATAACTACATGTGCTCAGCTTGGATGCTGGGACACCTGTATTTCTCTCTCTCCATGTGGTCTGTCGAGTTGCCTCATGGTTCTTACCTGGTGGCTTTAGGGTCCCAAAAACCCAAAAGCAGTAGCTTCTAACCTCTCTTGAATTTTAGCCTTGCAACTGACACGGTAATGTTTCTACCACATTCCTTCAATTAACAAGGCCACACAAGACTCAAGGAAAGACAACACAAGAGTATGAATGGAGGGGGTGCACCTGGCTGGCTCAGGTCAGTAGAGCATGCAATTCCTGATCTTGGAGTTGTGAGTTCAAGCCCCATGTTGGATATAGAGAATACTTAAAAATAAAATGATCTTTAAGTAAGAAAAAAAAAAAAAAAAGGAGTAGGGGCTCCTGGGTGGCTCGGTTAAGTGTCTGACTCTTGATCTCAGCTCAGGTCTTGATCTCAGGAGTTCAAACCCCATGCTGGGCTCCACACTGAGCATGGAGCCTACTTAAAAAAAAAAAAAAAGAGAGTGTGAATGGTTGAGAGGCATTGTTCTTTTTTTTTCTTTTAAGATTTTATTTACTTATTAGAGAGAGACACAGTGAGAGAAGGAACACAAGCAGAGGGGAGAAGGAGAAGTAGGCTTCTTGCTAAGCAGGGAGCCCGATGTGGGGCTCGATCCCAGGACCCTAGGATCATGACCTGCGCTGAAGGCAGCCGCTTAACGACTGAGCCACCCAGACGTTCATTAGAGGCCGTGAAAGTAAACCTATCATGAGAAATTTTATGGGGCCAAGGGGACATCCAAGTGGAGATGTCTAGCAAGCAGTTGGGAGTCTATTGCTTGAGGATCTAGACAGGGATTAAAACATGAGAGAGGACAAAGTTAGAATGCAGAGAGAAAAGCAGGGGGCCAAAGGCAGGACCATAAGGTTGTATGTCTAAGAGGTGAGCACTCAGTGAGCCTGACAAAGGTCAGTCTGATATCATGGATGCCAAGGAAGTAGAGTTTCAAGGACTAAGTGGCCCGCCATGTCTAATGCAGTGGACAGCACCAGAATGTGACCAAAGCATCTATTGGATTTCTCACAATGGCAGACATCATAGTGGACAGAGTTTTTTGTTTTTTTGTTTTTTTGTTTTGTTTTTCCTTTTCTGAGACTACTTTTTTTTTTTTAAAAGCAGTTTTATATTCATAGCAAATTTAAGGGGCAGGTTGGACACCTGGGTGGCTCAGTCAGTTAAGCCGCTACCTCCAGCTCAGGTCATGATCCAGAGTCCTGGGATGGAGCCCCGTATCGGGCTCCTTGCTCAGTGGGGAGCCTGCTTCTCTCTCTACCTCTGCCTGCTACTCTGCCTGCTTGTGCACACTCTCTTTCTGACAAATAAATAAATAAATAAAATCTTAAAAAAAAAAAAATTAAGGGGCAGGTACGAGACTTCCCATATACCCCCAACTCCCACACATGCACAACCTCCCCGATTATCAGTATCCCCTACTGAAATGCTACATTTGTTACAGTTGTTCTAGACCCACCTTGATACATCATCATCACCCAAAGTCCAGAGTTTTGCCTTAAGGTTCACTCTTGGTGGTGTATGATGTATGGGTTTGGACAAATGCATTAATGTCATGTATCTATCATTATAGCATCACTATCCCAAAAATCTTCTGTGCTCTGCAACATGTTTTTGACTACTCAAAATCCATGTCTCCTTCTTCAGATAGTGGCACCTTAATTTGATCTCTCGCTCTCAAAGTCCATGTGGTTTGGAATGCACTAATCATCTCCCGTACACAGTCCCCAGAGTGGAGCATTTAATTCAGGTCTGCCCAGTTGGAATGCTGGATGCACATCCAGGCCCCATCGATAGATTCAGTGCCAAGCCAATGAGTTACAGTTTCAGAACTTTATATTGAAAGTAGCAGGAGAAAAAGGTGCCTGGCTGGCTCAGTCAGTAGAACATGTGACTCTGGAACTTGGGGTCATGAGTTCAAGCCCTATAAGACATCAACTGAAAGTAGTAGGAAAAAGACTGCCTCATCACTGGTGTTGCTAAGAGCACTGGGAAGTAGGGACAGAGGCCTTGTGGAATGGGAGACCACTCTGTGAGGCCAACCTAGAAAGTAGTAGAGCAAAGAAGTGGATAGTGAGGGGGAAGGAGAGACTAAATCCAAATGACATTCTTTGACTCACTGGATCCCAACAGGCCTGAAGTTACCCCTACCCTTGAACTTTTCTGTTAGGAGCGATAAGTGACATCTTCATTTCCTTGAGCCAGGTTGAGCTGGGTTTTTTTAACTTGCAGTCTAAAACAATCTTGACCAAAGAGATACTAATTAAAAATGGAGAAGTTGCAATGTTGAAACATATATTTAAACTAATTTTTTAAAAGTTTTCACTGGCCTCATAATCAGACATTTTAGAGTACAGACTGATAGGGACTCAAACTGTCCCAAGAGAGTGTGGACATTTTTAATCCCCACAGAGTATCTCTGTAGGAAAGGGAAAACAGAATGGAAGAATGGCAGAGAGATGAAAGCAAAGATTTCAGGCATAGGCCCTCAGGCCCAAGCAACAAGGGTTGAGTTTCTTGCCTTTAAACACATCAGGTATGCAAGAATCATTACCTGTTTCTTAATACGGATTTTTAGAACTTTCTGGCAACTCTTTACACACAAAAAGTGTTTAGTTATTATTTGTTTGGATCATTGCTATAACCTGTCTCTACCTTCTCTAAGGTATTATAGTGGCATATGCATAGAATAGTGGTGGGACGGGAGAATGAGATTGAGGAGGAGAAGAGTTTCTCTTTAAAGTTTTCACCCTGTGTATTAACTGAAAATCATACTTTTTAACTTTTTTTTTAAAGATTTTATTTATTTATTAGAGAGCAAGTGTGTGTAGGAGTGGAGAGGAGGGGCAGAGGGAGAGAAAAAAGCAGACTTCCCACTGAGCAAGGAGCCCCAAGTGGGGCTCCATCCCAGGACCATGGGATTATGACCTGAGCTGAAGGCAGACGCCTAACGGATTGAGCCAGCCAGGCGCCCCTCATATGTCAAGTTCTAACCCCCAGTACCTTAGAATGTGACCTTGGATACAGGGTCTTTACAGATCAAATCAAGTTAAAATGAAATCATGAGTATGACCCTAATCAAACGTGACCGTGTCCTTATCGAAGGGAAATTAGGAAACACATGGAGACAGGGAGAATGCCATGTGGAGATGAAAGCAGAAGTCAGGGTGATGCTTCTACAAGCCAAGAAACGCCTAAGTTTGTCAGCATACCACCAGAAACTAGGGGAGAGTCATGGGAACAGACTCTTCCTGACAGCCCTCCAAGGGAGCCAGCCCTGCCCACACTTTGGGATTTGGACATCCAGCCTTTAGAACTCTGAGGCAATTACGTTTTGTTGTTTAAGCCACTCAGTTTATGGTGCTCCATTACAGCAGCCCTAGGAAACTATTCCAACCATTACGTACATCTCTCAGAAAGAAAATGATGTCTCTTCACCCCTTCAAATGCACAAATTGAAGGTCTGTTTTAAAAAAACAGAATAAGGGGCGCCTGGGTGGCTCAGTGGGTTAAGCCTCTGCCTTCGGCTCAGGTCATGGTCTCAGGGTCCTGGGATTGAGCCCTGCATCGGGCTCTCTGCTTAGCGGGGAGCCTGCTTCCCCCACCCCCTGCCTGCCTCTCTGCCTACTTGTGATTTCTATCCATCAAATAAATAAATAAAATCTTAAGAAAAAAAAAACAAAACAGAAGTAAAGGCCATGCAGAAAACAATTTAAAAATCACATTGTAAATTGAACAGTTTGATCTGTGCTCTTAAACCATCTTTAAGCTGACTTTTCAAACAAACACCCTTACCAATCGATACATACATTCTCCATTTGCTTTTTCTTTCTTTTTTCTTTTAAGATTTTATTTATTTATTTGACAGACAGAGATCACAAGTAGGCGGAGAGGCAGGCAGAGAGAGAGGAGGAAGCAGGCTCCCTGCTGAGCAGAGAGCCCGATGCAAGGCTCGATCCCAGGACCCTGGGATTATGACCTGAGCCGAAGGCAGAGGCTTTAACCCACTGAGCCAACCAGGCGCCCTCTATTTGCTTTTTCAATAAAATGATAGCCTCTAAAGAATTCCTAATCAACTGAAGAACTGGTTTATATTACCTTTTTTTTTTTTTTAAGATTTTATTTATTTATTTAACAGAGAGAGAGAGAGATCACAAGTAGGTGGAGAGGGAGAGGAGGAAGCAGGTGCCTAGCTGAGCAGAGATCCCGAGCGGGGCTTGATCCAAGGACCCTGAGATCATGACCTGAGCCAAAGGCAGAGATTCAACCCACTGAGCCACCCAGGTGCCCAAGCACCTGAGTCTTGATTTCAGTTCAGGTGTAGAGCTAGAGTTCACGAGCCATGTTGGGCTCCAACGTTGGCCATGGAGCCCACTTTTAAAAAAAGGGGGTTGGCGCCTGGGTGGCTCAGTCAGTTAGGCATTTGCCTTTGGCTCAGGTCCTGATCTTAGGGTCCTGGGATCCAGCCCCATGTCGGGCTCCCTGCTCAGTAGGGGGTCTGCTTCTCCCTCACCCTCTGCCCCTTCTCCCTGCTTGTGTTCTCTCTCTCTCAAATAAATAAAATCTTTAAAAAAAAAAAAAAGTGTGGGATGGAAAGAAGACACACCCACTTAACAGATGAGAAAAAAAACTCAAGCAAAGAAGGTATTGGTTCTGTAATCTCTGATACCAAAGTTTATGCTGTCGACATCATTTTTGTGTAGCCTCTCCATGCTCAGTCACACGGGGCCTGACCACAGAGTCCTCTCTTGAGATGCTAACTTAACAGACAAGTTTTGGCTTCCCTCTGAGGACACCAAGAAAAGAATGGGGATAGAGAAGAAAGTGTTAATAGCCCAAATTACAGCAATTCCCTAAGATGCAATTTTGTAACTTTATTTTAGTCACTGCTAAATGGCTACCATCTCCCAACTCCTACATCTCCATATGCTTTATATTCATTCTCTCATTTAACCCTAACACTGAGCCTCTCAGGTAAAGAGTATTGTTTTACTGTCACCTGCTTGAGTTCCAACTATATTACATACATTATATGTACATATTACACATTAATGTATGTATATAGAGAGGGAAGATTTATGTATTTATTTATGTGTAGCCATCCATGCTTACATTTATAGGTATATATAGATACACACATACAAACAATAGAAAAAATACATACGTGTGTTTGTATATTACATGTTTCACAGAAGAGTGAGATGGATTTAGTAGATCACATTGGGCACCAGCTAAGGAATTTTAGGACACGCATGCCCCATTTGATAGAACCTTACAAGAACTGATACTAACATGAAATATTTAACAATAGCAAAAGCCTGGAGGAAATACGAATGCAAAAATAACACTAGAGTAAGGAAAGTAATCTTAGCACTGGTGTGATTTCACCCACATGATGTAGCCGTCTTAGGAAAGTGGGGACCATTAAGCAAACATTCCAGAAACATGTGACATTATTCCAAGATTCGAAGCCTCAAAATAGATTATTGTAATTTATGTAACTATTTGCAGTGATTAACTGTTCAGATTCACCATCTGAATAGATAGATTCACCATCATCTATCCTTGGCTTAAAACCATTCAGTGACTTCCCGTTAGACTTGGAATAAAAGTCTGAGTCCTTACCATGACTTTTGTGGTTGGTCAGGGTCTGGGCAAACAGGAAATTCATGAAAGAGGTGGTGGGAACACTAAGGTAAGTGAACCGCAGGAAGTAGCTCCCACCTTGATGGAGAACAAGCTAGGGAGAGTAGAGCTAGAAGAATCAGAAGAGCCTGTAAGAACCCGGAGGCTGAACGAAATGCCACTGTGAGAAGCAGCATTGTCATTACTTAGGTGACCATGATGAGAACTGCCAGCAAACAGGCATGAGTAACTGTCTTTTCCCTCCCCCTGCTTCCAGATTCCCCGGATCCTCTCCTGGTGACAAAACCTAACCCTAGTTGACAAAGGAGCAATATGGTTTGCAGCCCCAGCATTGCGGAACAGAATAGGGAAAACTGGATTTGGAGGTGAGAGGCCAGCCCAGCCTTCAAGGGCCTCTGTGATCTGGCACGGGCCTCCATCAATAGCCTGATTCCTTCCATTCTCCTCACCATGTGCTCAATTCCAGTCACACTGGGCGTCTTTTTCTTTCCCAAGCACACTAAGCTCATTCCCGCCCCCAGACATTCACACATGCTATTCCCTTTCCTCAGAAGTACCTTTTCCCCCTTGGGTCATATTCATTTAGGGTATAACTTAAAGCCACCAACGAAAGAGGATTTCTCTGACTTCATCAAATCTACAAAAGCAACCCTCTCCCCACTCACATTCCATAAAATTCCCCCATTTTCATTTTACTCATAGCATTAATCTCTATTTAAGATTATCCTTTTTTTTTTTTTAAGATTTTATTTTTAAGTAATCTCCACACCCAACATGGGGCTCAAACTCACAACTCGGAGATCAAGAGTTGAACACTCAAGGGACGCCTGGGTGGCTCAGTGGGTTAAAGCCTCTGCCTTCAGCTCAGGTCATGATCCCTGGGTCCTGGGATCGAGCCCCGCATCTCTGCTCAGTGGGGAGCCTGCTTCCTCCTCTCTCTCTCTGCCTGCCTCTCTGCCTACTTGTGATCTCTCTCTCTCTCTGTAAAATAAGTAAATAAAATCTTAAAAAAAAAAAAAAGAGTTGTACACTCCAGGGCGCCTGGGTGGCTCAGTCATTAGGCATCTGCCTTGGGATCAGGTCATGATCCCAGGGTCCTGGGGTGGCGTCCCACGTCAGGCTTCCTGCTCAGCGAGGAGTCTGCTTCTCCCTCTCCCACTCCCCTTACTTGTGTTTCCTCTCTTGCTGTCTCTCCCTGTCAATTAAATAAATATCATTTAAAAAAATTAATTAATTTTGGAAAAAGTGGTTTCTTGTTTGTTTCTTCCCTAAAAATATGGGGGAGGATTTGTGTCTTATTCATCACTGTATCTTTGGGGTACCAAATGGTGCCAGGTATACAATTTACTAACTATAGAATAAATGCATTTTTAAAACGTTTTAATGATTTTATTTATTTATTTAACAGAGAGAGCATAAACAAGGGGAACAGGAGAGTCAGGCTCCCTGCTGAGCAGGGAGCCCGATGTGGGACAGGATCCCAGGACCCCAGGATCATGACCTGAGCTGAAGGCAGACGCTTAACAGACTGAGCCACCCAGCCATCCCTGAATTCTCATTTCTGCTTAGGTCATGATTTCAGGGTCCCGAGGTAGAGCCCTGCCTCAGGCCCTATGCTCTGCTGGACTCTGCTTGAGGTTCTTCATCCCCCTCACAGACTCCTTCCCACACCTCTAATAAATAAATAAAATCTTAAAAAAAAAAAAAAAGTGTCACTCTCTACTTTCCCCAGTGCTTTCATATACTTCACCTTATTTAGCTTTCCTTCATTTTTTGGTGCAATGGTAGGGTCCTTGGGCAATGGTGAGGACACCAAAACCTTCTTGGAGACCAAAGAGAGACAGTGGATGAGTGACCTCTGCCGACATCTCCAGGAGGGGCCCCCAAAGAAGAGCCGTAACGGGACACCTTCCCTGTGTTCAAAGCAAAGACTATCCAGGACATATGTGTTTCTCTGGGGACCTACTCGGAGGGTCCCCCGAGTGGGGCACTGGCTGGGGTGGTTTCCCTGGGTTTAAGGTAGCCATCTAGTGGACTCGAGTCTCCAGACTGATCCAGACCCTGCGATTAAACTGCTGGGTGATCCTGGGCAGCAAGTAAGTTACCGGGTCCCCCTGGTCGCCCTTCTCCATCTGGAAAATGGTAGGTAACATGGGCTAGGATTTCTGAGGTTCTGGGAGGTTCATCCTCTGACCCATTCGGTTAGGACAAGCTGGGCCGGCGAGTTTTGAATACTGGAGACTCAGCAAACCTTTCAAACTTAGGAATGAATGAATGAAACAGCTGGAGGAGTCAAGGGGCTGGAGACGCCAAACTGTTGGGAGAGGTTTGCAGGTCATAAGAGGAGGTCGAGGGGTCAGACGTCGGGTTCCGGTCAAACCCAAGAAGAACCGGAAGTCCCAGATCCGGTCCGCTCAGAGCCCGGGCCTCCAGCCGCGTGACTAAACCTCCCGAGGCGGAGCTTCGGCACCGGGAGAGGGCGGAGTCTGGGGCCTCCCAATGGTAGCGCGGCTGTCCTCCCACCTCAGCCAATCAGCGCAGGGAGACGGCAAAATTTAAACCCCCTCCCACCTCCTCCGCAGGGACCTGTCCCTAAAGCGCTTGTAGAAAGTGCGGCGGCTTGCCCCGCCCCCGCCAGGGAGGCGGGAAGAGGGGCGGGTTTTCCCTCCTGGGTTCGCCTATCACGGCGGGCAGCCTGGGGAGAGGCGGGCAACGGCGCCAATCAGGGCAGCAGCCGTATCTCAGCGGAGCAGTTGGCTACAGTTGTTGCAACTTTTTTCGAAAGCTGCGTTTCCCGGGAGATCCTAGGCGGTGACAGAGCTGGGCCATGGCTAGAGGTATTTGCCCAGGTGATCAGCTCCGGGGCGGCTGGGGTGGGGGATCGTGCGGGCGGGGGACCAGGGTGGCGGCAGCGGCAGCGGGGAGCCGGTCTGCTGAGGTCTTCTCGGAAGGAGCGCGGAGACGGGGCTGGGGGGGCGGGGGTTGTTGCGGAACCTTCTTCGACCCCCCATCCAAGTCTCCAGAAGTCCCTCCCACTCCCATGCCTCGGTTTCCCCTTTCTAAAGTGTGGGCACCCGCCGGCCTGCCTCTCCAGGAACAACAGATCCGTATGTCAAAGCTCTTCGGGGACTAAAGCGCAGGGCACCTCCGGTGACTGGATGTTATTGATACGGCGGGGGGGGAGAGCGAAGCTTCGCCCGTTTCGGGGCTCTCTCTTGCTGGGAAAGGAGGTGACTCCGAGGCCAGGGCGCAGATGGGTAACCTCCATCTGGAGAGCGCGTCGGCGTGGACACCGCAGCAGGCGCCTTTCCTCTCCACGCCCTGAGTTACCTCATTTGGGGGGATGAGATGAGTCCCATGGCACCACCCGGGCGACCCTTCGTCCCGCAGCTGGTGAGGACTCCTGCCCACGGAGATGGCTTGGGTGGGATTGTCCAGCCGCGGGAGGCGATGTCGCTGCCTTAAGTCCTTCTTTGCACACTTAGTTTGCTGTCAGGACAGTAAGACCCACGTTATGCGGCAAAGTGATCTCCAGCCGCTGGTCATTCCCAGCTGCTGTGTCTCCTTCATACAAAAACTTGAGCGTGACGATTGAGTAGAATTATTATTTCAGAAAAATGAGTTGAGGTTTGACATTTTCCTCAAAATCCCAAGGCAGTACACGTTAGCAGGAATTTGCCTTAATGCAGTACGCTCCCTATTACAATAATAATGAATAAAATAAGATTCATTCAGCAAATATTTATTGGGGACCTTTGTTTTCAGGCCCTACACCGAATTGCATTCTTTATTATCCAGAGTCTTTTAGTTAGTGTCTTTCGGAACAACCCAGGTTCTGATTAAGAAATGAGGCAAAGTGAACTTCAAATTAACGTGGTTCATAACCCGGTCCACAGAGAGAGTTAAGACGAATATTTTTTCTTCAGGAAAGTATTAAGCATCTAAAAGTATATTTAGTAGTATCTAACAAATCATAATAAATGTATGCTTCCCCAATTCATTTTTCCCATTAGAACAAAATCATTCAAGCTGTTTTAACAGTAGTGCCTTTAAAAGAAAAAAAAAAGATGGCTTGCTTTAATTAATCTATAGGGAAAACAAAATTAAGCAATTTGCCATTGAAATATTTAAATACTTAATATAGGCAAATACTAATTACCATTGAGGGCCAGGCACTTTATTATCTCAGTTAATCTTTACGAATTGTTATTCCCATTTTTCAGAGGTGGAAGCTTGAAGTCCAGTGCCACTGTCTAAACTCTGACCATGCTATGCCTTTCCTTGTTCCACTGTGTCCCTTAGCCAAAGTGAAGACAAGTGTTCCCAGCTCACACGGTGGCAGGCTTACAAATCACCTTTGTAATTTATTGGTTAGTGATTCTCCCTTTACCACTTGACACCCAAATTGTAGTCATTTCTTTCTCTCTTTCTTTCTTTCATAGTTACTTATTTCTTAAGGCTTTGTTACTCTTGTAGATTATTAAATTGGGCATTTGGTAGTGTAAATATCAAATCCTTTTTAATACTCTGAATGAAGAGTCAGGCTTTTTCTTCTAGAAAAGCTGTCTTTGTTGCAAACTTGTAGCTCACTTTGAGAACCCTGCTGGGTCCCATGAACAAAATGTTCAGATACCAGGCAACTCCTCTCTGGTTTTAAAGTTTTACAGTCATGTAAATATTTTCAACCTTAAGTATATTAGTTTGAGGAGGATTAGCCCATCTGCTTTTCTCCATTTCTGCTGCCATGGCCAGATGGCCTCCTAATTGGTCCCCCTCTTTCCACTTTCACCATTTCCAATTTATTATCCCCCAGCAGCTAGAGTGGTCCCCACGAACACAGTTTTTTATCATGTGACCTTCACTCCTCCTCCCTCTCCCACTGTTCTTAGGATCAAACTCACAATCCTCACCCTGGCCTGCAGGGCCCTGCCTACCCCTCTGGCTCAGTGTGCTCCATCTGCCTTTGCGTACGCTGTTGTGTCCTTAGCAAGGGCCAGCAACGAAGTAGGTATTCAATAAATATTTGTGGAATGAACAAATTCCTATTTTTGTGTCTGAGTTCAAGGGAAGCAATATAGAGTCTTTATGGTAGAGTACACTGTACAGCAGCAGCACTGGGTTCAGATCTCAGCTCTATTACCACTTGAGTCGTGTAATTCTGTCAACTGATTGATCTTTACTGAGCCTCAATTTCTACATTTGTGCAATAGGGATAGTACCTTCTCATAAAGGGTTGGGAAGGTTAAATTAAATAATGCATTTTTGTAGGGCCTAGCATGTAAATATTGAATAAATGTTAGCTATTAGTGTCATTCCTGCTGAATTCTATTTCTGTGAGATCCTGGACAACATTAAGAGTTTTCATTTCCACTGATGGGTATATTCATTACATACACATAAACACCTCATGTCCGGAAACAGGAAAGACTGTGTTGAAGGTTACATTGAATGATTTGTGTTAGATCTTCTAGAACCAGAGCTGCAGAGTTGAGGGATGGGTGCTGGACTTGGATCTGAATGTATGTGCCCCCTGCATTTGAGGGCCGAAACCGAGAAAGCTGTGGCCCTGAGCATGTGTGTGTAGTTGCAGGTGGGGGGTGGGAGAATGTTGAAATAGCATGTGAAGTAGAAAAGATGATCTGAGTGGCTGCTTCCTGTTCTCAAACCACGATTCCCATGATCGTTTGGCGACAAACTGCAAGCTTTCTCTGCGCTGGAGATGTAGCGCACACTATTTCAAATGGCTTGACCGGCCTGTCAGTGTCACTTTAGAATCTTCTTTCACTCTCCGAGTAGTCTCTTGGGTATTCAAGTGAGCACAGGATCCCATCCTACTGGAGTTAGGGTTCGTGTGGGGGCTGCCAGGGGAGAGGATAGGTGTACGGACCAGCCCTGCCCCAGGATGCTAAAGCGGGAGCTGATCTGGGAGGTACGGTCCTGAGCCTATTCCTGCCATTTAATCCTATTTAATCTTATCCCTTCTAAGGGGGAGGCAGCTACTTCAAGGAACAGCCATTTCTTTCTCTGTGGACATCGGAAGGTGCCCTGAGTGGGCGAAGGAATTCAAGGTTCTTGGTCATTTTCCACAAGGAGGCTGAGGCCTCATCCGGGGGAGTGACTAGGCCATGGTCACAAAGCACCTCTGGGGCAGATGCAGGGAGAGAAACTCAATGCTTGCCTCCCAGGCCGTGACCCGAGTGAGCGAGCGCGGTAGGAGCTAGATGGCCTGAGGTGTCTTGTTTGCATCTGTGACTTAGCAGAAATACAGTGACTCTTGGCTGTGGGCCCTCAAACCCTTCAGCACAGTGGTGCAGGGCGGTGAGCTCTGCCAACACAAGACACCTGACTGGCTGGAACCCCTGCCTTCCTAGGACATTTTCTCATGGGGGTGAACAGGAGAACCAGGTGACTTGCTAACGCTTCTGCAATAGCATCTGTCCCTCTCATCTTGAATTTCCTCATCTGTGGCTGGGAGTGCAGGCTCCGGGGTCATTTGGCCAGGAAATTCATTTTTAGTTCTGAGAATGTGGCCAAAGCTCCTCCCTTTTCTAAGCCTCAGTTTCCCCATCTGTGGAAAGGATATAAAAGGATATAATAATGGTGTGTACTTTCATAGGGCTGTTGTGAGGTTTGGATGAGATCGTGTGTGCATGGGAAGCACCCCACCAACTTGCCATTAAAACCACTGGCTCTATCTCCCAAGGGCCTGAACGGGTGCAGACCGCCTGGGTTTGACACTTGATCCCATCGATTTCTAGTTCTGTGGCCTTAAGCAAGCCCCAGCACCTCTCTTGAGCCCCAGTATCCTCATTTTTAACGGGTTTGCCACGGGACCTAACCCCCCCCCCCCCCCCCCCCGAGGATTAAATGCCCCCAAACGCTAAGGGAGCACAGGCTCCGGCACACTGGAAGACTCCCGCCTGTGGCGCTCACCGCTGCTGACTGCGCCTGGCACCGACCGGTCTCCCAAAATATCCGCGGAGCTAGGGAGAGAAGGAGCCTGGCCCGCGAAAGCCGGGGCTGTCATTATCATGTTTCCCACCCCTTCCTCCCCGAGTGGCTGAGGACGCGCGAGAGGGGGCGCGCCCGAGTCGGGATTCGTCGCGGCCGCCCGGCCCGCCCTCCCTCCTTCCCTCCCTCCCTCCCTCCCGAGCCTCGCAGCGCCGCCCCTGCCAGCCCCTTCCCCGGGCCGGGAGCCGGACGGTGGGCGGCGGCGGCGGCGAGCGGGCGGGCCGCGGAGGACGCGCCGCCAGCGCCTCCCTCCCAGAGTCCTCGATCCCGGGCCGGCCGGGGCTGCCGCGGCGCGCTGGTGCCGGGCCCTGCCTCGCAGGCCATGGGGGAAGGGGGCGCCGTGGGGCGCCGCCGGCCCTTCCCCGGGGCGCCGCGGCGGCGCTGGTGGCGGCGGCAGCAGCAGCAGCAGCGGCAGCGGCAGCGGTGGTGGCCGGGCCGCGGCGGCGGCGGCGAGGGCGAGGGCGCGGGGCGCGCCGCCATGGGCCTGGCCGGGCTGCAGGTGGGTGTGGCGGGCCCGGCCGCGCGGGGGGTGGGCGGCGCGCGGGGCCCG